CTCTCTTTTTAGGGGAAGATGGGCAGAGCACAACTCAAAATCATGTCACATTACATAACAGTGTAACTCACCCACTCCTTGACAGAGATCCTCTTAGAGGTTAGAGAGATACTGGGAGTGTCACTGGATGGACATGCAGAGTATCTGAAAGGGTATAGGGGAGGAAGCAGATGTTGTCCACACTCTCCATGATCCAGACTGTACCATTGTAAGACAGACAGTATCTTGGGCACAGCAGCTAGGGATGTACAGCTGTAGCCTTTGTGTGGGTTGGGAGATGGGGTCCTGGGAAGGAAGGGAGGGCTTCAATTAAGAATTAAAATAGAAGCTCAGGTGCCATAAAACATAAAGAAGAAAAGGCTGCAGGGACTTAGGACTCCTCTCTGGCTGATTCAGTCAAATGAGTGCTGGACTGCAAAACCACACCTGAGTTTTTAGTCCCAGCTCTATCACTAATGAGCTATGTGACATCAGAAAAGCCACCTCCCTTCTCTGACCCACTCAATTTCCTCCTCTTTTGAAAGGGGACAATAATCTGGTCTCTACCTTCCTCAAAAGGCTGTTTCAACCATCACCAGATCATGATTGTAAAAGGCTTAGAAAGTATAATCTGTGGTATAAATGGAAAGAAGTATTATCTTGGATCAATTCAGTTCATCAAAAGAGCTGCAATTTCATTCATTTCAATACAGTGGTCACTGTAGCCTATTAAAATCTCTTTACATCTTAGTAGATAGGGTTTTTCATGAGCTACTGTGACCAAAGGAATTCATTATCTGGTGGCCAGCCTTCTGCTCATGAGCCTTCTTTATTTAACTAGGCTGGATATTAGACAACAGATGCCCGGCGTGTTCCCAGGTCCATACCTGAGCCCTATCTTGCTTAATAGCACCTGCTAGAGTCTTTAAAATCTGAGAGGGCAGGAAGCATGTATTATCTAAAAATTGTTGCTTTCCTAACCCCTAGAACATCACAATGTACATAGTAAGCACTAGATAAATGTTGATTTATGGTGATCTTTTGGCATAAACTTCAAGAACCCAGGCATACTTACGCCACAATGAAGCATCAGAGGAAGAATTTAGAGGAGCACTAATCTGATTATTGTTATTATAATAAAGGTTTCTCTGAAGGGGGTGAGGGTAGGGCTTCCTGACCCTCATTTTCCACCTGTACATTTGACATAGCAAGATCCAGGGATTTCTGGTGCAGCAAGAAAGATTCAGGTAAGAAGCAAAAAATGACTTACTGTTGTTGAAAGTCGTAAGACACTGAAATATGGATCAGGACACCATTTCCTTTTCCCAATGACTTGAGAAATTCAAAAGACTCCTGTCTGTCTTGGGGATGAAGAGATAGTTAAGACAACCTCCAGAGAGGTCTTTGCCTGGGGAGAGGAAGCCAAGATCACTGCTCACAGTAATGCCTCTACTGGACTTCTCTCCCCAGACCCCACCACTTGGGCCTTCTTCAGAGGATAGTTCTGGCCCCTTTTCTTCCCTGTGACATACCTCTCAGCCCACACTACTGGCCACTCACTCACCCTAGCTTGAGGCCAGAGCAAAGACCAGGGCAAATGCAGTTCTAGGGGTTAAGATTCAGTCAGCTTTATCCTAGATCTCTGGGGACAGCTAGGGAGTAGGGAATAAATTGAACACAGACACTAGGGCCTAGGGGACAGTGGCAATGTTCGTCCTCCCAGCTGCTAAAAGCAAAACTGGGATTTGGAGAGCTGCCCCCTTTCACCCAAGTCACACCCGACTGAACTCTTAGAATTTTTTCATTTGGAAGGCCTGGACTCCAGGACCAAGCATTACTTTAAAAAAATATCAAGGGTATTATTAGCCAGGGGCCAGGATCAGGAGCCTTGCTTTGTGCTGGGAGACTGAGTGCTAGTTTTGGAAGATTCCCTTCTCTCACTCCATTCTCATCATCAAGGACTTCCCCAGGGAGCAGGAGTCTCTAGGGGTCAGACTATCCAGTCTCATATTTCTAGGATGGTAAGAAGGAAGAGAAAGGAAAAAAAATACACTTCAATCCACACTCTGAATTTATCACTTCTCTATCTGGAGGTGGCAAGAGGCTTCATCATGAGTCCTCTGGAATTGTGGTCGATCATTGTGTTGATCAGAATTCTTAAGTCTTTCAGGATTGTCTTTAAAATACTGTTTTTACTGTATACATTCTCCTCCTAATTCTCACTTCACTTCACTTCACTTAACATTAGTTCATACAAATCTTCCCACTTTGTTCTGAAACGACCCCTTTCATAATTTCTTACAACACAATAGTATTCTATTAATTTCATAAACAATAATTTGGTTAGCCATTAGTCAAACGATGGGCAACCCCCCAGTTTCTACTTCTTTACTGCTATAAACATTTTTGTTTTGCATATGACATTTTCAAGACACTGCTCTCTACTGGTTCTCCTTCTATCCATCTGAGCTATCCTTTGCTGGATTTCCATCCAGGTAATGCCTACTAACAGTAGGTGACCCCTAGGGCTTTGTGCTAAGCTGTCTTCTCCCTCTATATTATTTTACTTAGTGATTCCATCAGTTTCCACGGATTCAATTATCATCTCAATATTGATGATTCTTAGATCCATTTATCTAGCCCTCATCTCTCTGCTGTCTCCAGTTTTATATCTCTAACTCCCTATTGGACATCTCAAACCAGATTTCCAAAAGACATAATAATCACATGTCCAAAATAAACCTGCTGTTTCCTACTTCCTCCCCCCCACAACTCTCCCAGCTTCCTAACTGCACTATTCATTGTTGGGGGTACCACCATCCTCCCAATCAATCAGGCTGGTAACTTAAGTGTCATCTTCAACTCCTCATTCTCTCTCACTCTCCACCATATCCAATATGTTGCCAAGGTCTGTTGATTTCACCTTTGTACTATTTCCATATATATTCCCTTTCCCTTGATACTACCACCATCCTGGTGTAGGCCCTCATCACCAAATACCTGGATTATTGCAATAGCCTTCTGGCTATGGCTCTCTGTCACTAGTCTCTCTCCAACTCAGTCAATCCTTCACTCAGTTAGTAAATTGATCTTCCCTAAAGCATAGATCTGATCATGTCACTCCCCTACTCAATAAACTCCAGAAGCCCCATAACAACCCTATGATCAAATAGAATATTTCCTGTTTGGCACTTAAAAGCCTTCATAATATGACCCATCCCAATTTTCCAGTCTTCCTACAAGCTACTCACCCACATACACTTTGCGATCCAGTTAAGCCAGCTTCATTGCAATTCCTCAAACACAAAACTCCACCTCTTGCCTTAGGGCATTTTTACAGACTGTACCTCATGCCTGAAATTCTCTTCCCATTTCCAAATCCTGGTTTCCCTGGCTTCCTTCAAGTTCCAGCTAATGTCCCACTTTTTACAACTTTTCCTGATACCCTTAATTCAAATGTCTTTCTTCTGTGGATTATCTCCAATTTTTCCTATATATTGATTATATATAGTTGTCCCCATGTTGTCTCCCCCACTGGATTGGGAGCTCCTGTAGAAGAGGAACTGTCTTCTGCTTTTCATTATATTCCTATAGCTTTCCACAGTGGCCCATATTAGGTACTTAATAAATGTTTGTTGACTGATTGTAGGGCAGGTGACACCGACTATGCCAAGTGTAGGGACACAGAAAACAATACGGGGGCACCACAGGCACAGGAGGAACCACTGGAGGTTTTGGGCTCCAGTCTCTAGCAGGTTCACTTTTCTTTTGCTTTTTGGTGAGGCAATCAGGGTTAAGTGACTTGTCCAGGGTCACACAGCTAGTGTCATGTGTCTGAGACTGGATTTGAACTCAGGTCCTTCTCACTCCAAGGCCAGAGCTCTATCCACTGCACTATCTAGCTTCCCCTAGCAGGTTCATTCTTGATCTGGGCAGCCAGAAGGACAGGAAGACAGCTTCAGAGGGGCTAAATAATATACTTTATTCTTGTGTTTCTCTATCTCAATGGCGTTGCTGATGATGGGAGCACCAACTCCTACAGCATCCCACAATTACTCTTCTTGCAAGGTCCGGTGGGAATCATAGGAGCACAACTCCTTCATGTTCCCTTAAATCTTGATGGGGGCCATTCGAGATAAGCACACACATTCACAAATCCCCCCAAGCCTTGATGGGGGCCAATCAAGGCAGAAACACATGCATTTCCATGTGCATTCCCCAAATCCCTACTTACTGACCAGTGCTCACCTGATTTATAAGGGAGCAAACAAAGAAGGCAATTTGCCAGCAATAGCCTCACAACTTTACCTTAAATCCAGTAATACCATGCTGACTAAGCACAGTGTAAGTGCAGTAGATTATTTACAATTAAACTCAAACGTTTAAATTATCTCATCCCTATATCTCACTGTGCTGTCACAGTAGAAACTGTTTATAATGTGAAAACCTGAGAACTAGAGATTGTTTTGGCCATAGATCCTGGGAACTATTATCTAAAAAAGAATTAACAAGATCCACCTTACTTACACTGATATTTCTCACCTTCACAGGTTGTGAGGTGGAGGGGACCCTGTAATGAGATGTGAGGACGATGTTTGGACAAAAATAGCGTGTTTTGTCTATAAAAGGGGCCTGGGGGGAGGACTGGGATCTCTTTGCCTTGTTAGCAGTTTCCCCCTCCCTTCATCTCAACAGCACCCTACCTCCTAATTGCTTTCCCAGGACCCTTTTCTTTATCCAGGGCTCTGCCTCAGATTCATTCATTCACTCATTCATTAATTCTTTTAAAAATGTCAAATTCTATGCTATGAGCTGGGAATGTAAAGACAAAAAACAAAGTCTGATCTTTTTTTCCCTCTTGTGGCCTTCACAGACCTCTTACTCTTACTTCCTCTCGGCCCTGGGGAGAGAAGGGCTGTACTTCAGGCCTCATACCTGAGAACAGTTTGGTCAGAGTGCTATGAGTTCTAGCTCTGGGTTAAGGAAGGTGGACCTTTAAATTAACAAAATCATAGGGAAGGTCAGGATTAAAGCATCTGGGAGTGGGGATGTGTTTACTACTCTAGCTTTCCCAGCTGGCTTCTCCACCCTTTCATTGTCTTCCTGCTCAGACTTACTTTCAGTTCCCCCTAATGATTTTTGGGTGTGGTGTCTTGGGCTCTTTCTTGGCACCCCAAGTTTTGCCCCTCTGGTTTAGATACCACCAGATACACTGAAAGACCTACTGAGGGCCTGAAGGACCCAAGTCATTTTGAATCATGAGAAGGTAAGTGCTGCTTTTTTCCCCCTGTCCTCATCTTTAGTATTCCATGGTTTTTTTCCTTTATTTCTTTTTCTCTTCCCCTCCAATCTCTCCCTCCTTTAACTTATTATCTTCCTTTTCCAAGTTTCTCCCTTCCTTCCTCCCCCACTTCTTCTGGTCCCCGCCAGAAGCTCTGACCCAGCCTCTGTTACTCTTAGATTAAACCCTTTCCTATCTCTTGCCATCATCCCCTTTCCTCCATTCACCCACTTTGAATTAAAATAAAACCCCAAACAATGGGGCACCCTGAGGTGAATGCTTTCTGGGCAGGAACCTGGCTACAGCATCCTGGCTTGGTGTGGGAGGTGGAAGTTCTTGAGAACTTGAGCTGAGGCAACCAATGGTGCTGCTATTTCAGCGTCACAGAATTCTCAGTGTGTTCAATCACAGCCTTAGCTGTGATTCTGTCCCCTCTCAGGGAAGAATTTCATGTACTTGTATCCCAGCACTGAGCCTTAATGAAAGACATTCTCAGAATCATAGGAGAGGAAGAGGGAGAAGGTCTTTAATGCAGTGTTGCGAATGTAGCTGTACCTCTGATTATGGACTAAAAACAGGGGTGGGCCTGGTAAATGTTTAGGGCACATTTTAAAATCTAATCTGCATTATTAACATTTCCTCCAACACTTTCCTAAGTCTAGACAAACAACAAAACAATAAATCAAGCCTTGATCTGTAGCTCTGATTTTGAGGTGGAAATGCTCATACTGAGCATTTAATAATCAACTTGATAGAGCCAGTTCAAGCTGGTTCAAAAACACCTCTGCCTGAAAGCCTATTTGCTTACAACTCTTGTTGCTGTTTGTCCTTCGTTCTTGAAGAGGACCATGACATCAGGAAGGCAATGTCATGACTATTACTTACACAAATACAGAGCATCTGATTCTTGTTTCCCTGGCTTCCTTCAAGATTTGGCTCAAATCCCACCTACTGCAGGAGGCTTTTCCCAACCTGATCCCCATTCTTGAGCCCATCCCCAGCCCCACTTCCAGTGCTTTCTCTCTGAGATAACCTTTTACTCAAATGCACATATGTATGTGCATGTACATATGTGCATGTATGTGTGTATATATGAGAACATGTGGGGGTCACAGAGAATTGGGCACAACTGAAACGACTGAACAACAAAAGTAATACACTGGACCTCACTCAAGAAACTTCATTGGCTACCAGATGCCTACTATATCATCAGTTCCAAACTCTTTATTTAGGACCCTCCCTAATTTGACACCCGTACAAATCAGTTGCTCTGTGAAGATTTAGACTTTGCTGAATTGAGTCACAATTGAGCAACAACTTCTCTCAACTAAACCAGTCAAGTACTGCTAAAGAAGCCTACATTTTATTCAGGACTTGAGTTTGTATCCTGGCTCGCTTACTTATTATGTGACCTCCTGCAAGTCATTTAGCTTTTCAGGTCTGAGTTTCTTCACCTATAAAATGGAGGTGGAATGGACTGGATGAACTTTAAGGTCCCTTCCAAATCAAAATCTATGACCTTTGTATTTGACTTTACATTTTTCATCTTTCATGAATTTTTATTTCCAGTGTGGGGCACCAACCCCTACTTCCCCTTTGCCCCCCATTCAGAAACCTTCTGCATTTGATCCTTCTTTACAAGTTCCTTCCCTTTCTTTGCTGCTGCCTAAAAATCGTTGTGCTCTCTTTGAGTACCTACTTCTGTTTTCCCACTTCTGCTCCCTGCCATTACACAATACAGACCACAGGAGTGTGTGTTTTTTTTAAGTTTATTTACAAAAGAAAAGAGAATGCATAGATATGGAAGTAATGCACCAGTCATTAGAATTCTTTAAAACATTTATTTTTTTTTGTATTTACATCATCTTTATTTCCAAATATCTCCCTTCATTCTTCTATCCCAAGAAAGATATACCTTGTAACAAAGAAGAGGGTAGTAGGGGAAGTAACTGGGCAAAACTAACCAACACAATAACTGAGTCTGATGGCACATGCAATATTCTGAAAAACATTTCCCTACTTCTTCAAAGAAAAGATTGGAGTTTTCTCCTGTCTTCTTCAGGAATCATTAGAATTCTAAGTATTTATAATCACCACTCCCAATAACCCTCTTCCTATACTTTTCCATTTTCCAGTCAGTGTTTTAAAAAGTTATCTACACCCAGTGCCTCCACTTAACTTCCTCTCCTCTCACTCTCTTATAAACCTTATGCAATCTGACTTCTAACCTAATCACTAAATTGAAACTGCTCTCTCCAAAGTTACCTTGATCTCTTAATTGTGAAATCTCATGGACTTGTCTCAATCTCCATTCTTCTTGACCTCTATGAAGCATCTAACACTTTTGATCACCCTCTCCACTTGGATCCTCACTCTGTCCTTCCGGGGTTTTCCTGATCCATCATTCTCTTGAGGACATAGCCTCCTTGGTGACCCTCTCCACGCATTTCTCTCCTTCCCCACAGTGGCTGAGTGGAGGAGTTGAAATATTCCTTGCTTCCAGTTGCCACTTCTAATTCTCTCCTTACTACCACCACTTGGTAACTTCTCCTTCAAGGCTCACTCAATCCACATCTACCAACTAATCAAAATTCTGCTAGCTGTTGACTACCAACGTCCAGGACACTTCCTTCTATCCTCAATAAGTTCAGTGCCTGCCTGGCAGTCTTTCATTCCCAACTCCTGCCCTCATACCAGGGAATGTTAACATACAGATTAATACTCCCTAAAACACCCTTGTTGTTCAATTGTTTCAGTCGTGTCTGACTTCATGACCCCATTTGAAGTTTTCTTGGCAAAAACGTTGGAGTGGTTTGCCATTTCCTTCTCCAGCTCATTTGACAGATGAGGAACTGAGGCAAACAGGGTTAAGGGATTTGCCCAGGGTCACACAGCTAGTAAGTATGAAGCCAGATTTGAACTGATGAAGATGAGTCCCTGACTTTAGGCCCAGCACTCTATCCACTGTTCCACCTAGCTGACTTCAAACACCCTTGTCATTCCCAGTAACTCAACTTGCTATTTCCTATGATTTACTTCTCTACCCCACCTCAGCTACACAGAGAGATGGTCATACTTTTGATCTTACCATCACCCACAAATGCCCCATACTTCCATATTCATAAACTCTGAAATTCCCTTATGTGTTCAAATCAAAATGGATTTGTCAATCCACTTCTCTTCTTTGTAAACCTAAATCCCATTCTTCATCCTCACTAAGACTTCTAATTGCTCCTCAGTTCTTTCTCCAGCTATCATTTCTGCATTGGTTGCATTCTCCTCCCTTCTCCATCATGACCCACTGGAGAACCAGTTCACTCTATACTATCCTCTTCTCTTAAATACCTGGCCCCTTTTACTATTTCCAGTCTTGTCCTACTAAGCCCCATCTACTACCTTTGTCCCTATTTACATGCAGCTGAACTAAGCTGGATAAAATGACAAAACTCTCCTGGCTGGGAGTACTAAGAATTTATGATACATAATCTGAACTGGGTCCTCACTGATGCAAGGTAATACTTTTATGACCCACTAATTGATTCACTAACCAATTTACCACAACAGCTTTTCTAAACTTTTTATCCCTCCTCAAACAACCCATGGCTCCCTCCTCATCCCTTGCCATGCTCTCAGCTAAGGACCTTGCCTCACATTTCACTGAAAAAATTGAGACCATTCACTGAGAGTTCCCTCTTCCCTCCCCTCATCTTACATCATTCATAGTACTTCTGCCACTATCTCTACCTTCATTCATCTCATATGAAAATGTAGCCCCTTCTCCTTGCCAAAGCAAACCCCTCTACATGTAGAAATGAATCCTTTCTATCCCACATTCTCCAGCACAATGCCCTCTCAACCATCTTGCTTTCTTATTTATCTTCAATCTTCAATCTTCTCCCCATCTGCCTGCTTCCCTGATACCTACACCATTTCTCCTTCATCCTCAAAAAACCCTTGCTTGATCCATCCATCCCCACCAGCCTTTATCCCTTATCTCTCTTCTCTTTTATGATTAAACTCACTCACTGAGAATGCCATCTGTAGTCACTGTGTCCTCTTCTTATACTCTCATTCTCTACTTAGCTCACTACAATCTGGCTACCAACTTTATCATCCAATTAAAATTTCTCTCTCTCTTAAAGTCACCAGTGATCTCTTAATAGCCAAATTTAATGGCTTATTCTCAAGCCTCATCCTTTTTTATCTCTCTGTAGCCTTTGACACTATCAATCACCCTCTTCTTGATACTGTCTTCTCTCTAGGTTTTCATCACACTGTTCTACCCTGGTACTACTACCTTTCTGTTCCTTTATCAGTTTCCTTTGCTGGATCTTCATACTGGTCAGATTGGCTAATGGTGGGTATCCCCGGGGCTTTGTCTTATACTCTCTTCTCTTTTCTCTCTATAGTATTTTGCTTGATGATCTCATCAGCTCTCAGGGATTCAATTATCATCTTAAACTGGATGTCCCATAGACATCTTAAATTCAACATGTCCCAAACTGAGCTCATTGTTTCCCCCCAAAACCTTTGCCACTCCAGACTACCTTATTACTGTCAATATTACCAATCATCCTCTAGTCAGTCAAACTCAAAACCTAGGTGTCATACCAACTTCAGTACTAGATGACTAGAATTCTCTCCCCCTCTCTCCTCCTGGCTTTTTCAAGACACAGATAGAATACCACCTTCTACATGAAGCCTTTTCAGATCTCCATTAATGCTAGTACCTTCCCTCTGAGAATATCTCCAATTTATTCTGTATATATCTTGTTTGTACATAGTTGTTTGCATGTTGTCTTCACCACTAGATTGTGAGTTCCTTGAGATCAAGGACTGTCTTCTGCTTTTCTTTGTATCTCTGACACTAAGTACTCAGCCTGACATACAGGAGGCACTTATTAAATTCTTCTTGACTGACTTACATGTCTGGTTTTTACTGATTTTTTCTGCTGTTTCCTAATGATTATTGGTTTCCTTTTAAATACTCAGAAACTATCAATTTAACAATTCACTCTAATTGTTTTTTTCCCAGGGACCATCATTGTGATCAGCAGTCTGATACTATCATTTACCATTTTTCTTTTTGAAAATGTGGCTGTTTACTCATCTCTGGACTTCTATCACCTCTGCCATTTCTCATCATTCTTTTCTGACAAGAAACTATTCAGTCATGGATAAAGAATATCTATATGTCCAGGAAAAGGTATCCTCAGTATCCTAAGTCTATCAATTTAGCCACTTTCCTCTCTACTGACCCTGAAGATCCAGTATTGGGGAAGAGATGGCAGCGAACACTAGACACAGACTAGTCCGGTACTTAGGGGAATTGAAGGAAGAGGAGCTAAAGACATTCAAGCTGCTGCTGAAAAATTATCTTCCAGGGAAAGAATTTTTAAAAAAAAACTATCAGAACCAGTTAGAGAAAGCTGGTCATATTAAAATGGCCTCCATTATAGTCAATATCTTTGATGAGCAGAGAGTATGGGATGTTGTTATCAGAATCTGGGAGAAGATGGAACTGAAGGAGATGTGTGAAAGAGCAAAGGCTGAAGATCCTCTGATGGGTGAGTAAAGATGTAGAAACTTCAACCTTGGGAGAGTTACCTTATAACTACTGCTCCTCATGCTCATGTCCTCCCTAATTGTTCACACTCTAGGTCGTGTGTTTTCCTTTCAAACACGTCAATTTTTATTGAGTACTACCATCCTTCTAGCTATCCAGGATCAGAACCTTGGAACCATCTTTTACTTTTTCTTTTCCCTCACTATTCACATCCAATCAGCTTTCAAGCACCATTAAACTTAATTCCACAATATCTCTAGCATCTATCCCCTTCTCTCTACTCAGACACAATCTTTAACCTCGTTCATTATCTCTTCCCTAGACTATTACAACAACCTCTTGTTTGACTTTCAGTTTCTACTCTTCTCCTATCCATGCCCTCATATAGCTGCCAAATTGATATTCCTAAAACACAGATCTTACCATGTCACTTTCCTATGCAAAAATTTTCAATGGCTTCTTATTGTTTTTAGTATAAAATATAAAGGTAAGACATTTAGCAAATTCTACAACACGGATCCCATTTACCTTTACAATCTTATTCTATATTATTCCCCTTCATGAACGCTCTATTCCATTCTGACCTATTAGCCATTTTTTGTGCATGGTATTTCATCTTCTGCATCCATGCTTTTGCATAGGTGATCCTCTATGTTTGCCTCTTAGAATTCCTAGCTTTCTCAAAAGTAATAGTTCTAGTGGCAATTCCTACCGAGGCTTTTCCTGATGTACTCAGCTAGTGCATTTCCTCTTGAAATGACTTTGTTACACTTTGAACTTGTATATATGTGTTCCCAGGAAGTTCAAAGATAGCTAAAATATATCTGTTTTTTTTCTTTTTATATCCCCATGACTACTGCCTTGCACATAGTGAGTGACTAGTAAATCTTTATTGAATTAATTTGAATTGAAATTAGTATATCTATATCCTCTATCGGCCTATTAGATTCCTTGAAGGTAGGTCTTTACATGTCCATTAACTTTGGCACTCTCATATTGCAGGGATGCTTCTCACTATCAGATTATTGCTTGCTCTCTTATAATTGCCCATATCTTTATGGAGAAATTCAAATAATGATTAGTGTGACTCGCCATAAATAATATCATACTTATAAAGCAGATAAAATTGCTACATTTGAGATCTTTGTTTCAGAATCATATAGTACCTATACTGAAGTGTGGACTGGCCTTCTGATTACACTTCCTTTTTCTAAAGTCAGATGCTTTTCCACATTCCTTGCCTTGGTTATCTTAGTTCTTTCCACTATGTGTTACCCCAGATTAAGTGGATTTCCTGGAATTCCTGTCAAGCTTTCTTTAGAAAGAGCTTCTTTCTTCCCAGACCAGTTACCTGCACTATCTAGTATACATGTGAACCCCATAGTGACTGGGGGAGGTGTAGTTATTGGAACAGGAGGCTTCCTATCCTTGGGAATGGCCAACGGAACTCTCATAGTAGGAGAGAAATAAAGATTGGGGATACTGGGAGGGGCTCTAGAGCCATATAAGGAGATTCTGAGCATCATGTGGACTTTGAGTATTCACCTTTTCCTAAAGGTCCTATTCCTTGGGGAGGAATAGGTTCACTCTAATATATGTATTCAACATTTCCAATGAGAAACTGGAGCAATGGTCACCTTGACCTTCATTAAGCCTTCATTCAAGTATAGATTAGCTGACTACTTGGAATGGAATTCATGCTTTAGGTTCAAGTTGAACTAAAGTATCTCTGAGGTCTCTTTCAACTCTATGATTCAACTCTAATAACACTGACTCTAGTAGACTGCACAGACTCACATATATAGGTATTCTTTCCTGGTGACCTGTCACCTCTATTTCTTCCATTCTCTGGCCTGTTGTTGGAGTTCAGAACATTGCAGCACTGGTGCTTCCAGGTTGCAGCCCCTTGGCAGGCTTTTGTTCCTGAATGGCTATGGCCAAATTGGCTGTCAAGGCCTAAGCAAACCCAGGATCAAGGGTCTCCATGCCACTGGAAGTAGGAAGGGGGGGACTAGAGTATAGTGGTGGGTTCTCATGAAAGACTGTATCATATTCTTGGGTCAGCTAGTACAGTCTTTCTGCCAGTAGCACAGGAGGCAGGGGAGAAGCACTCAGTGAGCTTACAGATAATGAATGTCAGGTCCTGTTTCTATAACTTTCTTTTGGATTCTGGGCATACTAAACAACAGACAAAGCTGAACTTGCTTTATCTTTGGCACTTTTTGTTTGTTTGTTTTGTAGAGGTCTAAAAGGTTATGCAAATTAGAGAAAGTGTATGGTCTGTACTTTTGTTGTTCACATGACCCAAAACAGTGAGAACTCTAGGGTCTGCATGCCCAATTATATTTTTTCAAGTGGATACAACTGAGCCTTAGATTTTAGGTACCCCTACATTCCCATATAGCTTTTCACGATTCAAACAGGAAAACCTGAAGGCAACCAGGATAGCTCTATGAGCACCTTTCTCCACCAAACTATTGGGAACTTTTTAAGATTCCTTGTATTGGGAAAAGAAATAGTGTGTCTACAGTATTTGAGCAGATAGAAGATGCCTTTGTCTCATTAGCATTAGCCAAGATTTGTCAGTATCCCCGTGGCCTCAGGGACAATTAATGGTTTCTCTAAAAGTTATCTGGAAAACTTTCTGGGGCTCAGACATGGAGATCTGAGGTTGATAATGAAATATATATATATATATATATATATATATATATATATATTTAAGGCCCTATATATATATATTTAAGGCCACTGAGTATTTAAGGCCACTGAGGACTTAAGTCCAGGCATATACTTTTACTCTAAGGACTCTAGAGTTGGCCCAATTAGAGATAGCTCTCTGGAATTGGACATGTCTATTAACTTGTATTTTTCATGTTTTTTTTTCACTGTCATAGGTAACAGAAGAAAATATATAAACAGAATGAGAGAAAAATTCAGTCTTGCTTGGGATGGTAGCTCTTGTCTCAAAAACCTTGGATACTTACACAAGGAATTCATACCTCTTCTGCTTCTAAGTAAATCCAGAGAACCTGAGAATATATCCATGGAAAATAGACATAACTCAGTCATGACAAAACAAGCACACATAATTGACATAACAGCATTATTTGGGCCTGATAAGAAACATGTTCCACAGACTGTTGTGCTACATGGTGCTCCTGGAATTGGGAAAACAATACTGACAAGAAAGATAATGCTAGACTGGGCAAACGGAGACCTCTTTCAGGACAGGTTTCGAAATGTTTTTTACCTGAACTGCAGAACACTAAACCTTATGTCAGAGATGAGTTTAGCTGATCTGATTTCCAAAGATTGGCCAGACCTCCAAGTACCCATAGAGGCAATTAAGTCCAAGCCAAAAGCACTCCTTTTCATTATTGATGGTTTTGAAGAACTGAAGTGGCCGTTTGAGGAACCTGAATCTGAACTATGTCACCACTGGAAGGAAAAGCATCCAATGCCTATCCTCCTGGGCAGTTTACTAAGGAAAACAATATTTCCCAAGTCATCCTTACTGATCACTACACGGCCCTCGGCTATGCGGATGCTGAAGTTCTTACCAGACAAGCCACATTGTGTAGAGATTCTGGGATTCACTGAAGCTAATATTGAGACATATATCTCTAAGTTTTTCAAAACTGAAGCTAAGGTGCTAAAAGCCCTCAGTGTGATAAAAGCCAATGACACTCTGTGGAATATGTGTTCTGTCCCCCTGGAGTGCTGGATTGTCTGCACTTGCCTGAAACAGCACATGGAAAGAGGAGAAGAGCCCATGTTGATTCCCCAAACCACCACAGCTCTCTATGTGTCTTATCTTTCTTTCGGATTATCTAATGATGGGAGCTATCCAAGTCAGCACCATGACACCCAACTGAGAGGCCTGTGTTCTTTGGCTGCAGAGGAATTCTGGGGAGGGAAGTCCACATTTGATAGAGATGACCTTGAGAGACATGGGTTAGATGTGTCTGATGACTCTGCTTTCCTGGGCATGTACATTCTTGAGAAAAAGAATGGCTATAACAACTGCTACAGTTTCATTCACAGGAGATTCCTGGAATTTTTTGCTGCCATGTTCTATGTGCTAGAGGAAGAGAAGGAAAGAACAGATGATCCTATCTTTGGGAGGGGTATAAAAGAGCTACTGGAACAGTACAGAGAATATGGCACAGAGGTTTTCATAGTGCGTTTCCTTTTTGGCCTATTGAATGAAGAGACTGTGAGAGAGCTGGAAAGAAATTTCACCTGCCCAATATCAGAAAGAGTGAAAGCAGAATTACTACAATGGATAATTGCAGAAAGCAATGTACATAGGACTATGAATCCTCTACTGTACCCAGACCCTTTGGAAATGTTTCACTGTTTATATGAGATTCAGAAGGAGGCACTGGTGAAGCAGGCAATGGAATATTTCCCAAGAATAAGATTATCTCTTCACACGCAAAAGGATGTCCTTGTCTCTATATTCTGCATTAAGTTATGCTGTAGTGTAGAGGGAATGTGGCTGCATGTCAGTCAAACTTTGGCTCTGTAAGTGTCTACATTTATTTGCCCTTTTCAATTCTAAGAATATAATTTGGCTAGTTAGTTCGTGTTCCCTGAGACTCTAAGGCATGTGTTTTGAAAGTGCTTAGGTGTCTACCTTGATCCCTACCCTCAAAAGCAGGTATTGGTCACTAGTTTTAATTAAGTTTCAGAAAGCTTCATTGTAGCCAAATACTCTCCTAAGTTGATGAATAAGCATTTATTAAGTGCCTGATTCATTCCAGGCATTGTCCTAGGCACTGCTGAAAAAAATGAAACAATCCCAGCCCTCAAGAAGGTTATACTCCAATCAGAGGAGCATATAAAAGTATAAGGAAAATCTAGAAGAGATAATTGGATGGGAGAGTTACTAGTAATTGGATATTGAGGGAAAACCTCATTGTTTTGTAGAAGATGGAACTTTAGCTGAACTTCAAAGGAAATTAAGGCTTTTTGGATGTGGAGGTGAGGAGAAAGTACATTTTCTGGCATGGAGAACAGTACACCTTCTACTAATGACACAAGGCCCATGTGTAGCTATCTCTGTACCTTAGCAGGAAGTCACCTCCATTTTATGTCCATTTTTCCTATAGTTAATAACGAAGATCTTCTCTCATGGTATCACCATTGGATCTTCATCCTTGTTCCTTGGAGGAAAAAAACTGCTTCCTCTTCGGGGGTCAAGGTGCACTTTCTTTAGCAAGAATTTCAAATCTATTATGTAGCTCCAAAGGCTCAGTAATCCTTCCTCCCCTCTACCTGGGCCTTCTCAGAGTCTCTCCATTTTCTTCTTGAAAAATTTTCCTCTATCTTTCCAAGAAATACTTCCTTTTCCCCAGCAGGGATTTCTCAGTGTGTGTGTGTGTGTGTGTGTGTGTATGCACGCACACATATATACACACATATGTGTGTATTTTTGTATATGTACATACACATACATATATGTGTGTATGTATTGTTTTTGTTGTTCTGTTATGTCCAACTCTTTGTGACCTCATGGACATTTTTTTGGTAAAGATGCTGGAGTGGTTTGCCATTTCCTTCTCCAGTAGATCACCTTTTGTCAGGCAAATAAATGTTAAATGACTTGCACAGGGTCCAATAGCTAGGAAGTGTTTAAGGCTAGATTTGAACTCAGATCTTCCTTATTCCAAGTCTAGTGCTCTATCCACTGAACCACCAGCTGCCTCATATGTGTGTATGCTGTTGTTCAGTCATTTCAGTTGTGCCTGACTTCGTGACCCCATTTGGAGTTTTCTTGGCAAAGGTACTGGAGTGGGCTAGGATTGTTTCAGTTTTTTTCAGCAATACCTAGGAGTTTGCCATTTACTTCTCCAGCTGTTTTTACAGATAAAGAAACTGAGGTAAACAGGGTTAACTGACTTGCCCAGGGTCACAGCTAGTAAGTGTCTGAGGTCAGATTTGAACTCAGGTCCTCCTGAATCTAGGGCCAGCACTTTATCTACTCTATTACTTGGGTACTCCCATGTGTATGTATACAGACATATAAAATATATAAATATTATGTTTCTAATATATAAAATGTAATAAATATATACATATGTGTATGTGTATATATAGAATAATTTATTATATTTATATAATAGTGTTATACATTATAAATACAATATACATCCATCACTTTTTGAAGATTTCTATCCATACCCTAATGCAAAAAGGGCTACCTTAGAGCAATTTTTTGAGAGATTATATGAAGAAATTCACATTTCTAGCTATGTCATGCCTAATCTTTTATCATAATTCTGTTCCTTACTAGAATGCCACAGCTAACAGAGAAGACAATATGTAAACAACTATGCACAACTATGTATGGAGTTTTCTTGGCAAAGATGCTGGAGAGGACTCACCTTCCTTTTTTCCCCCAAATAGTAGGATAAGAAGTCAGCTTCAAACTATGATGCCAGTCTCCATTTCTCACTAATCCCCACTCTTACTTTCATATTCAGATTTTATTCACCTATGTTTCACACTTCAGTTAGCAGCCTCCAAGTCAGAGTTATTTACTTAGCCTTTGGTCCATCTTCCCTTCCCTGGAGGTAGCTAATTACTGAATTACCTTCTGCCTTTCCTTTTATGGAGGAAAGACAGCTCTGACTTGCCCTAGGGCCAAGAAAGTTATGATGAAATGGGACAATGCTGTGTTTTATTTATTTTTCAGTGTCTAGGCAGCTAAGTGTGATGGCTTCTTTTACTAATTTTATTAATATGTTAGCGGCCTGTTTGTTGTTCATAACCAAAATAAGACAAGAACACTTGCTCTCACCTTGGATAGAATATACAAGAGGTACTTTCCTTAAGATTCAAGTCAAAAGCCACCTTCCACATGGGGCCTTTTCTGATTCTTGCCCTAACACCCCCTCCTTCCAAGTTACTAGTGGTTTTCATTTTGTATTTGATTTGAATATATTCATATTGTCTCTCACCTCCCATTGGAACGTACACTCTTTAAAGGCAGGGAATGTTTCCCTTTTACCTTTGTTTTTCCAATGCTCTGTGCAATGCCTGGTACATAATAAGCACATAATGGTTGATTGGTTGACTCAAAACCTTCCCCATTAGTCTACTCTAGACAAGATATTTTTAATTCTTTTAACATTTGCTCCTCATTCATGTTTCCCAACCTGGAAATAATACTTTTTGCTCCTGAATATTGGGCATATACTCTTTGGAGGATTTTTGGGAAGACAGAGAAGAGAAGGTATGGATAGAATGGTTATAGTATGCATAAATGGAGGAAATGTCCTCTGACTAACTAATCTTTTCAGTGTTAATCTTTCCTTTTGTAAGAGTAGAGTCCCATGTGAATCTATCTTTGAAGTAATTTATAATATTCCACTTGCTTAGTCCCAAATTCTCCCTCTGGCCACCTATGCAATTTGCGTCAATCTAGGGCCAAATCCTTTCTTGATGAGACTTGTGGAAAGAAGTGCAGTCCAAATATGTCTGTGCCCAGTGAAAAAGGCAACAAAGTTTTCTATGGGTTCAGGTCATTCCCACAGGACACTATGGACTTATCTGAGAAGAGCAATGAACATTTCTTTTGTGTGTCCTCTTTCAGGATGTACAGTTCTCCTCTCATCCTCAGTCAATGGCAGGAGCTTATCTCCATACTCAGCCATAAGCAAAGCCTGAAAGAATTGGAACTAAATGGCAGTTTCCTGGATGACAGATCAATGAAGATATTTTATAAAGAGCTAAGACACCCTAACTGTAAACTGCAGACCTTGAGGTAAGTCTCCCTTTTGCTCAGGAAAAAAAACAAAAAAACAAAAACTCATATGGTATTACAATAGAAGCATTTAACGGAGAGGGTAAAGGGGGAGGAGAAACAATATAAGGCCAAAAACTGAGTGCCTCTGGTAGTGTGATATCATCAATTTCTCCCAAGAACCATCCCAATAAGGTGAGCTGGGTCATATATTCATATGTAAGGATTTCTTTCGGGCTTCTTGCCTCTATATTCTCCAAGTTTAGCTAGTAGACTAATGTTCCCGAGATATCATTTTCATGTCCTACTCTGATTAAAAAACAGTTCATGGTTTCCCATGGCCTAAAGATCTCCTTAGTCTGGCATTAAAACATCCCAGATTCTGGCTCGATTCTCCCTTTCTGGGCTCATCTCCTATACTTCCCTAGTATGAGCCCTTAACTCCTTCAAAAATCATCTGACCCATTTTGCATTTCTGAGCTCCAATTAGCTTCAATCTCTCTCTCCCTCTCTCTCCCCTCATTAAAAGTATAGTGTGTGTATGTATTTATGTATATGCATATATGTGTGCATGTATATACATTTGTATGTATATGTGTATGTCTATATAGGTATGTATATATTTATATACATGTATATGCATGTAGATGCATGTATGCATATTTTATATGTGTGTACACACATACACACATATATATAGATATATATAGATACAGATATATATGTAGATATAGATATAGATATATATAATCTCAGCAGTGATCAAATATTTATTAAGTGGCTACTATGTGCCAGGCAGTGCTGGGGATACAAACAAAGGCAAATGATAGTCCCTGCTCTCAATTCATTAACCTGTTCTTTCTCTATTTTATTGATATAAGCATTTAGAGATATAAATCTTCCTCTGATTACTGTTTTTGCTGCATCTCATAAATTTTGGTATGTTGTCTCATTATTATAATTATCTTTAACAAAAAATATTTATTGTTTCTATGACTTATTCTTTGATCCACTTGATTTTTTATCTGTTTCCACGGTCCTTTATTAAATGTAATTTTTATTGCATTATGATCTAAAAAGGATACAGTTGATATTTCTGCTTTTTTTTGCATTTAACTATAAAGTTTTTATGTGCTAATATATGGTCAGTTTTTGTAAAGGTGACATGTACCACTGAGAAAAAGACATATGTCTTTCTATTTCCATTCAATTGTCTCCAGATGTCTATCATATCTAGCTTGTCTTGACTTCTTTCTTATTTATCTTTTGGTTAGATTTATTTAATTTTGAGAGGGGTATTGCTATTCATTTTCACCTGTAATTCATTTACCTTTCCCTTTAAAAATATGGATGCTATAGCATTTCGTGTGTATGTTTAGTACTGATATAAATAACTTAATTATCTGTATCTTTTAACATAATATAGTTTCCCTGTTTATCTCTTTTAATTAAATCTGTTTTAGCTTTAAATTTGTCTGAGATCATGATTGCTACCCATTTTTTTTGGTTTGGTTTTGTTTTTGCTTCAGCTGGAGCATAAATTCTACTCCAACCTTTTATTTTTACTTTATGTATGTCTCTCATTTTTAAATGTGTTTCTTGTAAACAACATATTTTTGGGTTCTGGGTTTTGATCCATTCTAAGGTTTCCATTTTACGAGTGAGTACATCCCATTCACATCCCTTCATCATTTCTGACGGAAAATTAGTATTCCCTCACATTTCTATACTATAACTTGTTTAGCCATTCCCCAATTGATGGGCACTCCCGAAATTTCCAATTATTTGCCACCTCAAAAAGGGCCGCTATAAATATTTTTATACATCCTTAGAGTTTGTTTTGCTTAGGACTACTCCCATCCTTAGCCTACTCTCCCTATTATTTACCTCCTTTCCCTTCTTCCGGTTCTTTCCATCTCCCTGTTGAAGGAGACACATTTTTATATCCAACGCCATATGTCTGTACATATGTGTCTGTATTTTTTCATCATTTTATCAGTTCAGATAAGAGTAAGAGAGAGGTTGAAGAAATCAACTGTTTACCCCTAACCCCATTCTCCTTATTTGTACAGATGCACTTATACACCTTGATTATATGAGATCATTTTCCCCATCCTTCCTCTCTCCTTTCCCCTCTAGTGCATTTTTCTTTCCCATTTCCATTCTTCTTTTAAGATTATCAAAACATAACAGAACCATTCCCAAGCCCTCTGCCTAATCAGAATTCCTCTTTGAGTCCCTGATTGTTAGAAGGTTCTGAGGTGATACACGTCTCATGTCCCCATAATAAAATGTGGAGAGTAGATCCCTGATTTGTTCCTTATGATTGCTTGATCACATCAACTTTTTTGAGTTTTTCTTGACTCCTGTTTGTATTTCAAAGTTTCTACTCAGATCAAATCTTCTATTTCATTATTCTTTTTTTCCCTGTAGGATTATACTAGGTTTTACTAGATATGTCACTCTTGGTCATAGGCCTATATTTTTTGTCTTCTGGATTATCACATCCCAAACTCTCTGCTCTTTTATATTACTTGATACTAAATTGTATATGATTTTGACTGGCTTCTCAGTACTTGAATTCTTTCTTGCTGGCTGCTCTGTTATTTTTTTTCCCTTTGATCTGGATGCTCTAAATTTTGGCTATGATTTTCAGACAGCTTTAATTTTGGGGTTTCTGTCAGGAGGTGACAGGTGGATTATTTCTATTTCTACTTCCGTCCTCTAATTCAAAGATATCTGGGCAGTTTTCTTTCGTGATTTCTTGAAATATAATATCCATTTTTTTTGGTCATGGCTTTCTTATATTATATTATCTCTCCTCAGTATGTTTTCCAGGTCATTGTTTTTGCTATGAGATACATTTTCTTCTATTCTTCAATTTTTTAAACTTTGTTTTAATATTTCTTGTTGTCTCAGGGGTTATTACCTTCTCTATGGACTATTCTAGTTTTCAGTGAGTTTGTTGCTTGGGTAAAGTTCTGTGACTCTTCTGCTAAGTTGTCAATTACCTTTCTAATTCTTTTTTCCTTAGCTCTGACTTTTCCAATATTTTCCTCTAGCATTTTAATTTCATTAAAAAAGTAATTCTTAAAAAACATTCTTGCTTTATTCCTTCCTGGAATTCTAGTTGAACTCATGCCCAAACTGTGTTTCTCTTTGAGGCTTTGCGTACAAATGTCTGGAATCATTCTCTTCTGGGTTTGTGTCTTAATGTCCCTGTTATTATAATAGCTATTTATGATATGATTGTTTTTGTTTGTTTATTCTTCCACCCTGACTTCAGAACTAATATTAAGGCTATGCTCTGGGTACTTCTGGAGTAATTATCTGGGTGGGTAATGCTCTGCTTTCTTGGGATGTCACTGAATGTTGAGTTATTTTAGGACCTCAGGGATAGCTAAGGTTGTGGACCTCCAAACTTTCAGTGATCCCAGAGTTGTCTGACCCAAGGCAAAATCTAATCATTACTCCCATGGTCTGAGTTCTGCAAGTTCATAATCTGGAACTGGTTAAAAGCAACACACTTTTGGGTTTGCCGTAGTTGGAATTCCAATAAACTTCTGCTGCATTCAGCTACAGTCAGCCAGCTGGAAAACTTTGTTAGTTCACAGTGACATTACCATGGACTCCCCTTTTGTCTGGAATTCCTGTCTCATTATTCTACTGCAGGCTTCAGAATAGGCTGAAGGTAGAACTGAGACCCTGCTCCACTCCTGGGGTCAGAACCACACAGTTGCTGTTTGCTTCAGAACTCCCTCTTTGTTCAGTACACAACCTAGGGCCCATGAAACCCCCTCATTCTTATGACACTGTTATGTGTAAGTTCCTTCCTCAGTCAGCCCCAGACTTATAACACTGAATTGGGTATTAAACAACAAAGCTGCCAGTTGACATCTATTCTTGCACACTGCACAGCATTGGGTCCCTCAGATTTAGAACCTCTTATTGCCCTGGTGCACAGCGTCTCCCTGCACTAGAAAGTTCCACATGGCCATTTCTAGCTAGATCTCCACACTCAGTGTCTCCCCAACTCCCTGTATTCAATCTTCTGCTAAATCCTACCCATTCTACCTTTGAAACATCTCTCATATATGCCCCTTCTTTCCTCTGATACAGTTGGTCTCTTAGTGTAGGTCTTTATCACCTCACTACTGAACTTTTACAATAGCCTTTTGATTGTTCTCTATCTATCTTAAATTTCTCCTTATTCTAGTCCATCCTCCACTTAGCTGGCAAAGTGATCTTCCTAAAATGCATGTCTGTCCATGTCACTCCCTCCACATACACCTGCTCATTAGACTTCAATGACTCCATATGATCTCAAGAATCAAATATAAAACCCTCTATATGGCTTTTTAAACCTATTAAAACCTGGTTCCTTCTTACCTTTCCAATCTTATTACATTTTACTCTTTTCCACGTACTCTATGATCTAGCAACGCTGATCCCCTTGCTGCTTCTCATGGAAGACACTCCATCTCTTCATTCTACATCTTCACTGGCTGTCCCCCCTTGCCTAGAATTCTCTCCCTGCTTACCTGTCTCCTGGCTTCCCTTAAGTCTCAGCTAATATCCTACCTCGCACAAGAAGATTTCCTTGGTCCCCAACAATACTAGTACCTTTCCTCCAAGATTACCTATAATTTACCCTGTATATATACACATTTGTATGTACATAGTTGTTTGCATATTGTCTCCCCGTTAGAATTTAAAAAACTTGAAGGCAGGGACTATTTTTGCCTTTCTTTCTACCACCAGGTTTAGCATAGCTCCTGGCACAATAAGTACTTGTTGACTAGACTTTACTTGAAAAATTTCAACCTTCTCTTGGCTAAAACAAGAGAGAGATTTTTTTTCTTTGTGCATTTTTTTATTAATTTATCTTGATTTATCAACAATCACTTCCATAAGCCATTGAGTTTTAAATTTCTCTCCCCCTCCCTCCACACTTCCCTCCCCAAGACGGCACACAATCTAATATAGGCTATACATATACATTCTTATTAAACATATTTTCACATTAATGGTGTTGTAAGTAAGAATTAGAACTAATAGGAGGAACCACCAGAAAGAGGAAACTAAGCACAACAGAAGAAAAAAATAGCAAATAGTATGCTTTGATCTGCATTCAAACTCCATAGTTCCTTCCTTGGATGTGGGCAGCACTTTCCATCATGAGGCCCCTAGATGTCCCAGATCCCTGCATTGTTGAGAGAGGTTAAGTCCATCAAAGTCAGTCATCAGTCAATGTGGCTGTTACTGTGTACAATGCTCTCCCAGTAAGAAAGAGATTTTTATACTTGGACTACACAAGAGAGGGGTATCATAGTTCCTGCCCTGATAGGCATTTTGTCAGTTTCCTAAATAGAGAAGATGGAGCTGGGGTTGTGAAAGAGTTAAAAACCCAAGAGAGGAGTAGTGGGGGAGATAAATGTGAGCATTGGTTCATTTATGTCTGAGATTTTCTCTTCTTCTTCCCTGCCCCCCCACCCCCAGGGACTAGGTAGTGTAGCAGCCTCCAAAATTAATGAGTGAGAGAATCTCACTAGAATCAGAACAGGGAGAATATGATTTCTTTCCTATTTCTACAGGCTCCCTCTCACTGAATTAAGCAAAGACATGAAAAAAGATCTTGAAGCCCTGCTGAAGACAAAGCCTTCCATGTAAGTTCCTCATGTGTGATATTTGTGTCAGATGCTTATCTCTTAGAAAATACTAATACATAGTCTTTTAGGGTTACACAAGCATATTTAAATGTATTGACATACATCATACACATGCATGTGATCACAATTCAATTCAACAAATTTTTTTTAGCCTAAGCACTGCTCTAAATTGCTGGCACAGTGCCTAGCACAGAGTAGATGCTTAATAAATGTTCACTGATGACTTGGGAGTGCAAAGATAAGCAGTGAGTACACACACACACACACACACACACACACACACACTCCTATGCTTTGCTTCACTGTCTATGAAAGTCAGGTGAAATAGTGTAGAGTGTTGGACTTTAGGAAGACCTGAATTCAAATCCTGCCTCAAAACTTATTATCTCTGTGCTACTGGGCAAATCATTTAGCCTCTCAATGTCTTCATTTTCTTGTCTGTAAATCAATGACTTCAAAGATCCTTTCAGCTCTAAATCTATGGTCCTTTGATTCTTTAAGCATGCTCTCTCCCTGAGCTGTGACTAAAGTACAAGTGTTTCAAGGGAAACTTGTCTCAAAAGATATTCCTAATGACATCATGAGCAGTTAGGGTTAGGGTTCTTGACATGAGAAAGCACATGAGAACTCCAGGGTCAGTGTCTATGTCCAGACACTAGGATATTCTCTTTTCTTACCTCTATCAACAAAATTTCAACTCTGATTACCTATTATCTTTATAGAAAAAATATAGAGACAATTCCTGATGTTGACATGAAAAAAGAGAAATGTCATAATTCTCCACAGGAGCATCAGAAGTCCAGACCAGGTAATGAAAAACCTAAGTATTATGAAGCTTAGCCTAAGCTATTGCAACAGCCTCCTAACACTTTTTTCTACTCTCTCTTCTTACCATACTCACACTTCCAGATTAATCTTTCTCATTCCCAACTCTGATATTGTCACTATCTTGCCAGTATCACTGATGAATAAAACTCAAATCCTTAGCCTTACACAAAGGCTCTTCAGCAATCGGTTCCTATCCTATCTTTTTAGCATTATTTCTTAATGCTTTGCTATATAAACTTTCTGGTTCAGAAAATTTCTCTATTCACTGTCTATAGGGTGATAGTTCTGTTGGCACAGTGGTAGAACACTATGCCTGAGTTCAATCCTGCCTAAGATATTTACTAGCTATGTGACCCTGGGCAAATCACTTAACCTCTGTTTCTCTCAGTTTCCTCATCTGTAAAATGGGAATAATAATAGCACCTTCTTCCCAAGGTTTTGTGAGGATCAAATGAGATAATTTATGTAAAGATCTTAGCACAGTGCGCAGCACATAATAGGCGTTTTTTTGTTTGTTTCTGGTTTGGTTTTTTTTTTTTTCTTGCTAGGCAATGGGGTTAAGTGACTTGTCCAGGGTCACACGGCTAGTGTCAAGTGTCTGAGATCACATTTGAACTCGGGTCCTCCTGACTCCAAGCTCTATCCACTGTGCCACCTAGCTGCCCCACTTAATAGGTGTTTAATAAATACTTGTTTCCTTCCTTCCTTCCTCCCTGAAAGCAGGAACTGTTTTTGCCTTTCTCTGTATCCCCTGCACTTAAGCACAGTGCCTGACACATAGCTGGTGCTTAATAAAAGCTAGTTTATTTACAATTGCAAAGTCTTGTTGATTTACCTCTACAACATCTCTTATGTATTTCCTTCTTTCCACTCACATGGATGTTATCCTAGTTCAAGGTCCCATCATCTGAGCTTAATGAATCACCTTAATAAATGCTAGTTGATTGACTGATTGTCATCTTTTTACAGAAAATGCTCATTTACAATTCTCCTCCTGAACTATCTCCTAAGCTTCAGATTTCCATTTCTAACTTTGCATAGGTATCTCTACCTTGATAACCTACCAGCTTCTCAAGATCAGGATGTCTTGCACCAATAGGTGGTAAAGTGGATGGAGGGTTGAACCTTAGTTCAAATCCTGTCTCAGATACTTGCTAGCTATGTGACTCTGGGCAAGTCACTAAAACTTCTGTCTGCGTAAGTTTCCTCATCTGAAAATGGGGATAATAGTAGCACCTATCTCCCAGTGTTGTTGTGAGGATAAAATGAGATATTTGTAAAGCACTTTGCAAACCTTAATGCCCTATATAATTTCAATTATTTATTATTATTATTACCTACCTCACAGGGTTGTTGCAAAGATCAGATGAAATAATGCAAGTAAAGTACTTTGTAAGCCTTAAAGGGATATACGAATGTTAGTGAAAAGGATGGTGATGACACACCTACATATCATCTTTCTCCACAAACTTACTCTTTTTCCTGATGTCCTTTGTCTTTCATTTTTCTCAGTCGCTCATGTTCATAAATGCAGAATTATCTTTGATTTTTCCCTCTCCATGGCCCTTCATGTAGAATAAGATGAAAAAGATCCAACATCTTAATTCTTTCTCCACAGTACCTGTTATATTTATTCTACTGTTACCATTTCCTCTGATGTGACTTTAGTCCAGGTCCTCATTACATTGAATATCTGGACTCCTACAATAGGTTACTGATCTCCAGTCTCTCCTCATTTCAATCTATTCCATATCCTGCTACTAGATTAATCTTCCTAATGTACAGGTATGACCAAATTGCTCCATTCTTCAGTATCTTTAATGGCTCCAAACTCTTTAGCTTGGTATTCAAGGCCCATGTCTGTCTTACCTCTCCCGTCTTATCTTACACTACTCTGTATCATATCTTGCACGCTTTAGAAAAAGTGAACTGTTTGATGTCCTCTTAACCTAGCTTGTACTCTCCCAAGTCTACTCACCTATGCTGGACAGGCCCTTCTTATTTCTCTTACTGCCATCATTTTACCCATCCTCCAAGGCCTACTTCAGACGTCTCCTAACATTTTGTACTTCTCTTATGTACTCACTATATTAGAATTTATGTTGTATTTATCATTATGTGTATAATGATCCCTACTAGTTAATAAGCTCCTCAAGAGCAGGTATAATTTCTTATTTATATTTGTTTCCTTTCTCGCACCTACCTCAGTACTTAATACACTGCATATAGTAGGCAGTTAGCAACAGCTACTTGCATGAACGAATATGGTTGACTGTGGAGAAACAAAGCTGGGAGTGAACTGAAGTCCTCCATCAAAAAGACTTAGGGGGGCCCATGAAACTGAAAGGCAGAAACCAACAGGGATTTTGCATATGGAAGGACTCAGGGAAAGTACATACCAAGATAAAAGGAGCTATTTTGATAAGGAAATCGATCAACATCAGAATCATCATTTCTCTATAAAGCCCTGGGAAATCCATGAGGATATTAAGTAAAAAGCTGTCCCATGATTTCTTTGCGGTAGCATATTATAGGGAGAAGGTAGAGACTATAGCAAAGCCTTGTTTCATGATTATAGGAGGATTCTGCATCTCCTGGTTTTTGCAAGAAAGGGCAACATAGGATCCTTTGATCTCCCCTTTCTCCTACCACACATCTCACTATTCTTTCTTTTCCTGTCTATTTCAATATACAACTCTTCCCAGTGGCCTCAGCAATAATAAGTAATCTTCCTAAGTAATCTTCCCCTTAGTCCTGTTTTTCCATAGTCTCAACTCATCCGTTTCATTCTCTAGGATCTCTTGGGAATCTTCACAATTCTAGGAAAAATACAAAACAGGGAAAGATTCCAGTCTTGGAATCCTATACATGGACAAGCCTTTCAAAGATCATGGCCCCTACTCTGTTTCATTGTAAATAGGATTTAGATTAAACTGTTTAGGACAGATGACTTGTATTTTATCCAATTTCAAATAATCTTTATAAACAAATACCCTTTGTCTCTGAAGCAGTATATTCAAAAGGGAAATATTCACCAAAGTTTGTTCTTTGTTTAGGGGTAGCTAGGTGGCATAGTGGAGAGTGTGCTGGGCCTGGAATCAAGAAGACTCATCTTCCTGAGTTCAAATCTGGCCTCAGACACTTAGTAGCTGTGTGATCCTGGGCAAGGCACTTAACCCTGTTTGCTTCAGTTTCCTCAACTGTGAAATGAGCTGGAGAAGGAAATGGCAAGTCACTCCAGTATCTTTGCCAAGAAAACTCCAAATAGGGTCACCAAGAGTTAGACAGGACTGAAAAAAATTCTTTGTTTCTTGTTTTTTGATTATTTTGTTACTTGTTTTTTGTATTTATCTCTTTGAATGGATAGAGTAGTCCAAATGTGTTCATCTGGATAATGCTTCTTGTCTCTTCACTTTCAGGGCTACTTGAGAACTATCCTAAACATCAAAGACAACACGACAATATGGATTTGGGTGTAATGATATGTGAGCCATTGTCTTAAGTCACTCACAGTGACCCAAATTCCTTAGGAATCTGTGGTGATCTAAATGACTAGATGAAATACAGTCAATGTGGCCAAATCACTCCTCTCTAAGCCTGGTTCTCCAAATTCAAGGAAAGCTTAGAGGAAAGAATCGTACAAATATTTAAGATAATCCCTCTGTGATGAACTTAAAAAATGTTATTGTTGTAAATAGATCAGTGTTGTTGATGGCTGCTTTACAGCCTGGCTTGGGAACTGTGTTATAAAAGAGTGGAGATGGCTAAGATCTCCCCCAAAAACTTCTCCCTTACCTTCACATTGTTTCTCCTTCCCTGCATCTTTTTTTGGTACTGTCTTCAAGCTTTCAGGAATAAGGTGCCATGATGGCCACTGGCTGTGGTCATCAGTATATCATGGAGAGGAATAGAAGTCCTGGTCCAAAGTGAATGCATAGGAGGCAAGACTTCTTTTTTATGCTTCATGATCCCGGAATACAGTTCCTTAATTAGGATGAAGACATAAAACTTATGTAGTCATGATCACACCATTTGCTCATACTACTTGAGAGAGCACTGAACACTTTATGCCTCTTTTGAGATTGACATAGTGACTAGAGACTGTAGCAATGTAGCAAGCTATTATGCCTTGATGTGAATCTGAATCAGTTTTTTTTTCTTTTCCTGAATTTTTTACATATTTAACATTTATTTCCAGGAGAAGGAACCCCACAAACAAAGCCAGAAGTGACTCCCTCACTATCCCCTTTTGACTCTTCAAAAGATAAACAGTTAGATCTGGAGAGGTGCCACAATAAGTTCCTGGGACCAAATGGACCAGTAAATCTTGAACTGATAGATAAGAACAGAAACATATACAGGTGAGAGCCAGTGGTCTCTTCACTTACTTCTGTCCTAAGGGGAGTCATGCATGGTGTATGTGACTCCCAGAAAGAGGATATAATGGTCCTCTCTCAATCTAGATGGAGCTCCCTTTTTATTTTCTTCCCTCTACTCCCCTCCATTTTCTTTAGTTCCTTTCTCCTTCCTTTCCTTTGTCCCCTCTATCCTCTTCTAAATAAATATTTAGTGATGTTTCATCTTAGCAATGTTCCTGCTTACCACAAATATTTAATGATGTTTCATCATCCGACTTGTCTTAGGCTTTTGTACTGTCTTACTGTTATGCAAACATGAGAATCAGTCTCTCCCCAGTCATTCCTTTTTGATAAGAGATAAAAGAGGTAATTGATGTGTGTAGAAATTGTATGACACATGGCCTACTGTGCAAACTGAGAATCCTTTGAAGCTTCTTCTCTTCTACTGTGACTGTCTCTCTTTGTGCTTCCCAGAGTTCATTTACCCATGGCTGGCTTCTACCACTGGCCTGATGCTGGACTTGGTTTTTCTGTGAAAAGTGAGGTGACTGTTGACATTGAATTTGGTACCTGGAATCGGCACCTGGATTGGACTCAGAAGCAAAGCTGGATGATTGCTGGTCCTCTATTTCATATCAGAGTTGATCCTGAGGTTGTGACTTCCGTGCATCTCCCTCATTTTGTATATCTCCAAGGTAAAGAGACACGAGGTGAAAATCTTATTGTGATAGCAAGGCACAATAATACGTGCAGCTACAGTTTTAATGGGCTGGTAAAGGAATATATGACTAGTCTTTAGAATTATATCTAGTTGAGAACATCACTAGATTTTAAGAAAAACAAAAACTGAGAGAACCATCCAGATTGCAGAATATAAAGCCTTATTATCTTACTCCACATTTTGTTCTAAATATTTGGTGCTAATCATGATGGAGATGGCAGTGGTAATGACTGAAGTGATGATGATGATGAAAATGATGAAGATAGTAATGATGGAAGATGCGGTGGTGGTCATGATAATGACAATAATCATTGTTGTGGTTTCATAGATAATATGTGTATCCAAATGGATGATAATTGAAACTTATTTCAGTGAGCATAGACAAGATTCTTTTATGAGATTTATTTTCTTGACCTGCTTAAATGAGTTATTGTTGTCATCATCTTTATCAACATCATCATCATCATCATTGTTCTATCATCTTCCCCTAGACTGAATCTAAGAAAATGATAATAGGAATAAGTATAAAGTCCTCAACTCAGGTTAAAAAAAATTAACTGCTCAAGTACAGAATGAAGAAAATGTGGACACGTGATTTCCTGTGAAAAAGATGTTGGGCCTTAGTAGACTGAAAGCTCAGTATTAATGGACTTCAAGATCAATATCATTTGACACTGTTTCTGGATAATATCTCCTTGCTTAGCTTCTGTTACATGGTATTTTCAAGACTCATCTCTAAGACCATTTGTCAGCAACATGGCTAGAGATTACAGTGAAGCTAAGAGTGGTTACCTAGTTAACGCAATACTTTGGCAGTGTGTGGCAATGAACTATTAGCATATGAGTGATATTTTGTTACTATAGCATGCAGGGTGGCAGGCCTATATTACCAAGGTGTCCGTCCCATCAAACAAAGGGCCTATTTTGAAAGGTCAGATATAAACGTTCTATTGTCAAAACAGGGATACTGCCTCTGCTTTCCCAGATGCAAGTGGAGCTCATGGTAGCAACAGTTCCACAGGCTTACAGAGCAAGTTTAGTAAAGGATACAACTAGAGTTATAGCTCACTCTTAATATCATAGTAGACATTCCTCTAATGTGGCAAACTGTGACCAAGACACCTATTCTTTTTCAATGTAAATTAGCTTTTATGATTTATCCTCATAGATGAGATAAAGGCCTTTTTCACTAAGACATTAAGAAGTGCAGTTCCTGTGATATAGAAGAGTAGTTCCCTTTTGGAAAGCAATCATCAAGATTAAAGCAGAATTCTTTGATATTTCTGTGGACCGATAACAAATAATAATAATAATAACTCCCACATGTTCACAGTGTGATAAAGCTAAGAGATTCAAACAACATAGTTTCAAGGGTCTGTACAACTGGAAGAAGAGAAGCCAAAATGAGTAACAAAAAAGACAATAAAAAAGATCTTCTCTTTTATTAGAGAACCATTAAAATACAAAATCATTAAAAGATAAAGGTTGAATATAAACCTAGCACATAAGCAGGTAAGCCAGTAGAGAAGGCCCTGTAAACAGAAAAATGAATAAAACCGCAGAGAAAACAAAGGATATTAAAGAAATATAGAAAAGGAAAATAAACCAGTATTGCCTCATGAAAGATAAAATGTTATGAACTTCCCAGAGACTGAGGAACAAAGCCAAAAAATTCCAATATGGTAAAAAAGAAAAACAAAATTAAAAAAATAAGTAATTAGAAATGAATATAGGTCAGCTATTAGTTATGAGTGCTAAATTTAAAAAGAATTAGCAAGGAAGGAAAAACTGAAGTAGAAGCTATGAGAAAGAATAAGAGATTTAGAACTTAAAAATACAAAACTAAAGGAAAACAGCAGAAGAGATATAAAAAGCAATAATGTTAAAAGAACACATGAGTTTTCTACAAATCCAAAGTGACTGATTTTCTGCAAATCCAAAGTGACAGGATAATCAGAAGTAACCTTTGGGTTTCCCCAAAGAGCCTGACAAATCAAAAAACCTTCAGTCACCTGCAGGAAATAACTCACTAGAATTGTAAAGAAATTTTGAACACAAACAACAAAACAATGATTTAGAGAATCCACAGATCATTTTAAGGGGTATAGGACAGGAAGTGGATAAGCATGGAACTTGCATGTACTTCAAACTCCAAAACATCTGGTAGCCAAATTTAATAATTTCAAGGAGAAACAAAAATTTTTGTAAGAAGCCAGAGAACAGACCTTCAAATATGCACAAAAATCAATTTGAATAAGACATAGTTATTTTATAATTCTGAGAACTGGAGAAGAGGATGGAATAGTATATCCCTAGAGGCAAAAGAACTCGTTTCATTCCAAAGTAGCATGTCCTGCAAATAGGAAACAAAACTGTTCCTACCTGATGGAATGATGATTTAAAAAACTCCAGAAGAATCAAAAAAGAAACTATCTGAGACAATAGCTTCCATAAAGTACCATGATACAAAATAAATCCCTAAAATCAATAGTATTTCTATATAGTAATAATGAAACCCAGGAGGCAGCATGAGTAAGGGAAGTTCTATTCAAAATACCTAGAAAATATAAAAATTATCTTCCAATCAATCTACCAAGGCATATTCAAAACTTGTACAGATATAAGATACAATTGTATAGATATAATTAAAAAATATAGGAGATATGTGCATGCTCATGGCTGAGCCAAGCTAACAATAAAAATCATGGTTACCTAAGTTAATATACAGATTTAGTGTTACGCCAATAAAACCACCAAGTGGATTCTTTATAGAGTTAGAAAACAAATTATATTTGAAAGAACAAAAAGTTAAAGGAAACAGTAATTTTTAAGAAATATGAAGGACCAGGGAACAGCAATTCCTAATCTCATATCATATTTATAGTACTCCTTTGTAAGGAGTAATCAGCTAATCTATTTTGTGCTAATTTAAAAGAAAAAAAAACAGACTGGGAAGAAGATAAGGAAGAAAAGATAAGGCAGAAAAATAAACTATTGAACTCATTTGTTCCATAAATCCAATTGTTCCGTAATTCTGAGAATATAAATTATTTTGGTAATAAATTCCTACTTGAGAGAAATACTGGGAAAACTAAAAATTGACTTGGTAGAAATGAGATTTAGAACAACATCCTACCCCCATATACTATACTAAGCTCAAAATGGATATGCAAATTGAATATAAAAGGTCATAGCAAAAAACAATTAGATGAGAATAAAATCAGGCATTTTTCACAACAATAACTAGGTAGTAAACTCTTTTTTAAAATTTATTTTTATTCTTCAAGTAACTTTTTTTAATCTTTCATTCTCACTACCTGCCCCACCCCTAAGCCCAATTGAGCAAATTTAGGAAAGAAGGAAGAAGGGAGGACTATAATTGTCTTGGCAATAGGTATTCTTTACTTGATTTTTCTTGAGTATACAGTTAGGTGAAACTCTTTTAAGCAATCATGGATTTCATTTAGGAGTCTGCATTAGTGAAATCAAAACAGTGTCATTTGCCAATAGGAGTATCTAGAGGACCTCATAATCTATACGAAATCCCTATTTGGCATGAATTCTATGCCAGATTGCCTCCATGATTGCAGCAAATGTTCATTCCCTGTTTGTGCCTCATTCAGTAATATTAGTCAGAATAACAACATTATACCCATTGTTATATATTTCAAGGAATCATAATTTTTTAGTTTCATTTTGTCTTGTTTTTGAGATTGGATCTCCCTATCTTATCCAAGCTGGAAGTACAGCAGAGAAAGATAGGTCCACTCCCAATGCTGATTGGCACAAAACTTTCAACCTACTTGGTTTTTCCAATTTGGGCCAGTTCATCTCCTTTGCCTTCCATTCCTGGGGGCTCACCATATTGGTGTCAGACTTAGTGCTGACATCCTGCATCTCAGAACTCTCAAACTCAAATGATTCATTAACCCGAGCCTCCTCTAGTAGCACTGCAGATTCTTAGCACCATCTGCTTTTCCACTAATCTATCACCACCATTGAAGAAGTAAAGGAAATTGCATAGAATGAAAGGCATTTTGTATTTTTATTTGATAAATTACCATGGCCAAAGAACTCATCATCAATTAGCCAGCTAACCGGTAATTAGCCTCTCCCCACTTAACTACGGTAATTGTCAAAAAGAAGGTACAGTCTATTGCTGAGACCACACTTGATCAGTATCATAGAAATTGACAGAGCTTACATTCTTCTGGCATAACCTTTAAGGACCCAGAGTCAACTCCACAGAACACAAAATCAAAACCTAAGGAAACATTAAATTCAAACACATTAACTTAGTAATTTTATAAAATATGTAGAGTTCTCAGCACTTAGCAATCATTAATCAAGTATTTATTAATACATACACTTTTCTTTCTTAGCCAGTTTGTGGCTTTCAGTCTTAATTTCTCTTTCTACTCATTTTCTTTAATTTGATCTCAAAAATTGTCCAAGGAATTTTCTTTTAACTCATAGTTTTAGTTAATTTCCTCTTTTCAAATGAGAGACCTGACCTAAGAGATCTATCTGTATCCATAGTACAGACCCTCAGCTCCAACCGAGGTCACACAAAGAAAGTGGCCCTTGACTACTAGAAGAAATATAAGAAGAAATAAAAAAGAAGAAATGGGAAGTAATTTTTATTGAAATTCTCTGACAGGAGGAAAATTTGATGTCTCCTTGTTCAAAATTGCTCACTTTAAAGAGGAGGGTATGGTCCTGGAGAATCCAACAAGAGTGGAGTCATCCCATGCTATCCTGGAAAACCCAAGCTTCTCTTCCATGGGAGTTCTGCTGAGAATTATGCATTCTACCTTTAAATTCATTCCCATTTATTCCACTACTCTGGTATACTGCCATCTCAGGGATGAAGACATTACACTCCACCTGTATCTGATCCCCAGTGACTGTACGATAAGGAAGGTAAGCTTAGATGTTCCTAAGTATGAATCAGCAAAAAATTCTTAGAGCTTAAAGAAGCTGACAACCCCATCCTCCCCTTACAACTCTCAGTTTGACATCAGTTCTATGGTGAAGGCCATTGATATATATAGCAAATGATTGTGGCTTTCCTGTGTGCTCTCCTGGGAAAATAGGGACTTCTCATGTTGAAAATTTTTCTTTCTCTTTTTTCAGGCTATAGATGAAGAAGAGGCAAAGTTCCGTTTTTCACGCTTGCATAAGCCATCTCCAGTAACCCCACTCTACATTGGCTCTCGTTTCTTAGTATCTGGATCAAAACACTTGGAAATAATGCCTGCAGTAAGTGATACTGGTTGATCACATCCTATGGTAAAAGCACCTCTTTTTCATTCTCACCAAATTCAGCAAATCTCAGCAAAATCCTCTGGCTCAGTATGCATCCCTGTCATGGTTCCCAAGCTTCTTAGTGATATATATCTTATTTTTGTTAAGTAACTTCAAATGAGGATTTGAGTTACTTTAAAATAACTTTGAAGTAAATATCTAACTTGATTTTTTTTTTAATGCAATCCCTTATTTTAAGGGCATGACCTTGCCCTCCCATAATTGGTTTAACTTGGTTCTTTTCTGAGAGCCTATAAAGTATACCTACCATTGGTGTTTTTTCCCTCCAGGAACTGGAACTCTGCTACCAGAGTGCTGGGGAGTGTCAGTTTTTCTCTGAGATTTACTCCAGCAATGTGAAGGAGAAAATCAGTTTGGATCTGAGACACCCAAATGGGACACTGGTGTGGGAGACACTGGTGAGATCAGGTAAGACACTCAATTATGAATGGGTAAGACACTGCTGAAGCTGTCAGGCAAGAATGTGTGTGTGTGTGTGTGTGTGTGTGTGTGTGTGTGTGTAGATGTATGCATAAGCATAGGTATCTGTGCATTATTACTTTACTTTGGAATCTCAATCAGCTCCCACAGACTTAATTATTATTTCTTTGTTTATCATTTTACAATGTTTTTCCTATCCTAACCCCTCTGTTGACTTCCAATCTCACATGTCCAACTGCCTTTCAGAAACCTCAGACTGCGTGTCTGATAGACATTTTAAACTCAGCACGCCCAAAACTGAACTGATTATCTTTCCCCTAAACACTCCCCACTTCCAAACTTTCCTATTATTGCAGAGGCAACATCGTCCTCCAGTCCTTCAGGTTCATGACCTAGATGTAATCCTCAATATCCCTCACCCCACATCCAATCTGCTGCCAAGGCCTATTGATTTCACCTTTGTAACTTCTCTCAAATATACCCTCTTCTCTCTGATACTGCCACCACTATGGTGCAAGTCATCCCCACCTCACACTCAGACTACCCCAAAAGCCTACTGGTGGGTCTGCCTGCCTCATCTCTCCCCATTCCAATCCAACCTCTATTCAGCCACTAAAGTGATTTTCCTAAAGCCGACGTCTGATCATGTCACCTTCCTAACTCTATAAACTTTATGGGCTCCTTATTGCATCCAGGATAACATACAAAATCCTCTGGTACTCAAAGCCCTTCATAATCTAACCAATGCCACCCCTCTTCCCCTGCCCCTTACCACATATTTCCAGTCTCCTTACACCTTATTTTCCATGTACTCCTTAATCTAGTGACACTGGCATCCTTGTGGTTCCTTGAATGAGATACTCCATTTCTTAGCTCTGGGCATTTTCTTTGACTGTGATCCATTCCTGGAATCTTCTCCCTCCTCATTTCTACCTCCTGGCTTCCTTGGCTCCTTCAAGTCCTGACTAGAATCCCACTTTCTATAGGAAGGCTTTCCCAATCCCCCTTAATTCTAGTTTCCTCTGTGGGTTATTTCTTATTTATCCTATACATAGCTTGTTTGTACACAGTTGTTTGCTTATTGTTTCCTCCATTAGATTATGAGATACTTGAAGGGCAAGGACTATCTTTTGCTTCTTTTTTTTTGTATCCCCAGTTCTTAGCACAGTGCTTGGCACATAGTAGGTATTTAATAAATGTTTATTGACTGGCTACAAGGAAAGAAGGTGAGGTGTGAAGTTACTGAAGTCACCCTTACTGATCATTAACTTGGGAATGAATTTTACTATCTAAGAATAGTTCTTGTGTTTCTCATTCAGCCCATTCTAATGCTTTTAAGGTCAGCAGAAGCATCAAGCACAAAAATAACTTCACCTTACCTCTTACAGTAATACACAGAGAGCATCAGATTAATTTTAATACGACTAATGCATACATAACATGGTGATTCTCTGAGTGCTATTGAGACCACCAACCAAGAGATAAAAGTCTTTCACTCTAGAAATGTTTTCCTGATTTATGAGGCCCGTGATAAAGAGCACCATTTATGGAACTTGGGGTCCTAGCTACCATGGCCTTTACTTTTTACTTTTATTCACTGTAAGTTAAGAATGATAGAAGGTTCCATTGCCACCCTACAGTGACCTCTGACTGATTTCATTTGGGCCTTTTCTCCTTTTCCCATTCCTCCAGACCCATTGCAGAGTCAATATCACCTTACCATGGCAAGACAAGGGGCCCTGGGAGCATCAGACATCAGTCAAAAATTTGATTTATAACTCATTGCACTTTTCTCTTTCCCAGGAGATCTTGGACTTGCTTGTGCCCCAGTCTCTTCAGGTCCCACAGGTCAGTAATAGAGTAAGGTTCAAGCAATGCCCATCACACACCCTCCCATCATCCCTCCACTGTAATAGGTCTTTCATGCTTCTTTATATTAAATAATTTGCCCCACTTTTGACTAGGTAAAAGAGGCCATTCTCTGCCTGGTTTCTTACCTAACTTTAATCACTGAAAGAGTGTTGCTTTGTCAAATTGAGACCTGCGAAGACCTTAGCTTAAAAAGGCCAAGGTCTCCCACTGCATCTGAGGCCACCTCCAGTTGTCCTGATCTATATCCTGCCCCTGGGCCCTGATGGCTCTGGAGGAGAAAGTGAGGCTGGTGACTTTGTACAGCCCTTCCTCACTTAAATTCGATTCACTGCAAGTCATGGCATCACCTTCCTGATGTCATGGTCCTCTTTGAAAATGAAGGACAAACAACATTCTTATAGACACCCAGATGTGGATCTTCTTGTGCAACAATTTGACCACAGAGGAGTTGGGGGAAAGATCATTTATCCAGAGAGGGCATAGAGTGTCAAAAAAAGTCTTGGGGCAGAATTAAGCTTCTGTAGCTTAAAATTGCAATTAGACTTTTGTGATACTCTGATATCGCAAGCATTCAGAAAAAAAACAAAGTGGTTTAGTAATGTCAAGTTCCTGGGTCCAGAGTGATGAAAAAGGGAATGTACTGACAGGCCATGTATCATTAGCTAGGTTGACTGGGGTTGAGGGAGAATTCAGATTCAGGCACATCACAGTGAAAAGGCCTGGTGGTCTTCAGAGATTGTGTAGATGTTCACATTCTAAGTTGACCCTACTTACTACAAAAACTGCTCTAGGGCCTGAATGAGCATAAGCCTTAAGGATAGATAGTGGTTGCTCCACATAGTGAGTAGGATGGATGAAGAAACAGGAGATAGGGAGGAGTGGTTCTAAAGTTAATGGAAATAAGAGGTAGGAGGCCATGGTCGTGACTGGAACTATTCATTACTACATTATTTCTACCTTTCTGCCAGCACCAGAAGCTCCATCAGTCTCTCCCTTATTCTCTTCCTCCAGGACTTCACTTTGTTGACCAACACAGGGATCAGATAATTTCACGGGTAACAGCGGTGGACATGATCCTCGACAAACTTTACAGCCAGTTCCTCAGTAATGAGGAGTATGAACACATCCGGGCAGAGAAAACTAACCCTGATAAAATGAGAAGACTGTTTAGTTTTAGCACATCTTGGGACAGGAATTACAGAGACCACTTGTATAAGGTCCTAAAAGAGACACATCCTCACCTAATAAATGAAATACACAATACTGACAAGGCATCAGTGAAAAGGCCACTGGGGGCTAATAACATTGCCACCTCTCCTTATAAGCTAAATTAGGCTAATGTCCAGTTACTGAGCAGCAGCTGATGAAAATTTTTACAAAGTTCAAAAATTGACTAGAGTAATGTAGAGCACAAGACTGTGGTTTATGTTGAAATTTAATTAGAAATATCAATATTTTCACATTTTAAATAATCTTTCAAATTTTTCAGTAAGTTTGTAGCATTTATACTAAAGGTTTTAAAGTTTAAAACTGTGCTAAAACTTTTGGGACATTCTGTATATAAAGCAGATACAAGACAACTTTGGAAAGGAATACACTAGCAGTTGGGGAAGCATGAAAATCCTAATGAGCTGAATCTTAAAGGTGAGAAGATATAGCAATTCAGGCATAGGGTGGGGGACAGTCAGTACAAAGACAAGGAGGGTGACACAATGTGTGGGGGAACAGCAAATAGGTCACATAGCTGAACTTTAATGTGAAGAGGAGCAATACATAAGTAGGTTGGAAAGGTAGGATGTGGTCAGGTTGTGAAGACCTTTAAATGCCAAAATGAGGATTTTATATTTGATCCTAAAGGTAGCAGGGATCTACTGGAGTTTAAGTACAGCAGCTGTGTGGTCAAATCTACAGTTTATGAAAATCATTTTGGCTGCTGCATGAAGAACGAATTGGATTGGGGAGAAATGTGAAGCAGAAAGACTAGTAGGAAAATATTTCAATAGGCCAGGTGAGAGGTGACAAGGGTTTTAACTAGGGTGATAGGTGAGTGGAGTGAAGGGGACATATATAAGAGTTTTATAGGGACAAAAATGAGATTCAGCAATCTATTGCACATGTGCAGGAAGAAAGAGGAGCCAAGAATGAAACTAAAGTTAAGAAATTGGGTAACTGGAAAGATGGTCATCCCATCAACAGTAATAAGTTTATTAAAAGCTTGAATTTGAGGTGGGGAGGGCAGACATAATGAGTACTTTTTGTACATGCTGAATTTGAAATGTCTACAGGAGAGCTAATTCAAAATGCAAAATAAAAAGCAACTGATGTAGAAATTCATCTCTATTGCAAATGATGTCTAATAGAATCCTTGGTCATGTGAGCAACAAGATGGCAGACTAGACATTTTCTGATTCCCATGAGCTCTTAAACCTCTCCAAAAGAGAAAGTATATGCCAAAGGTAAAACAACTTCAGCAGTCTGCATGGTCTATGATACCCACACCCAAAAGGATAAAAAAACAAAACAAAGCAATGAACTGACATCTACGCTGAACTCAGGAAGCACACTTTCCCCCATTACCCACCACACTACTGGTAGTGAGAATGCACCAGTGAATCCAAAGGTCTGACCCACAAACCTGCAACAAAACCCTACCCCACACCCTTACTTCCCTCCATCTTTCACGTGCCATGGAGAAAAGAGCTCCACGTTGCAGAAGTTTGCTTGATGACCAGTGCCATGATAGCATTCTGTGCTGAAAATGATTTTTGCCAAAGAGTAGAGAAACAGAGGGTAAGGGACAGGACACATCTCTAGACTTGAAAAACTATTCAACTCCACATTCTTTCCTTCTTTCCTCCTAGAGCCTTAAGGACCCAAACTCCAAATGACAGAAACAATTCTGGCTATAGTGATGTCAGTCTGGCAGTACTTAGAGCTGCCAGGCTAGAGAAATGAGAGCAGAGAAAAAGGAAAAGGAAGAAGAGGTGCATAGTATTGGGGTGGGGGAGATTAAGGCACTCCACTAAGCCTTCCACTCAAAAGTTAGTATGGGCAAAGACCTAGGCTGGTGAACTGTGACTGCCCAATGTGGAAGGAGGCTGAGATGCTTTGAAATATATCCCTCAGGGAAACCACCATCAGAGGGAGGGGGTCAGAAAGTAACTAACAGGGAGATGGTAGTGATATTAACAAAGAATCAAGAGGAAACAAAAGCCTTGACTATAAGCAGATAAATCAACAAGGAAAACCTTAGCAGAAGGAAATATGGCTTCCAGATCTAGCAAACTAGTTTAAGTATCTATGAATAAATATTCAAAACAAAGCAAACTAAGATAACATTTAATGAGGCAGAAGACCCTGTGAAATTTGGGGGAACATGGAACTACAAAACATTGCTCCTGAATGGTTTAAAAAAAATTGAGAATTATGACAGCAGAATTTTGTACAGCAAAAATAACTGGCAGAATAGAAACACTAGAATCTGTAAGGGCAAGTCACAAAGAAACAAAAGAGAGAATAATAGATTGGGAATTACAATGCACAGAAGTTAAGCACAATCTAGAAGGAGAGAAACAAAAAATGATAATATAGAAAGAAAATATGTTCCCTATCCAAACAAAACATAATGATCTCAAAGACAGGATATACAGAGACAACTTAAGATTGAGTCTACTAGAAGATCAGGCAAAAACCTAAACATCATAATGCAAGAAATACAAGAAAACTGCTCAGGTCTTAGCACAGAAAACAAAATACCAATTGAAAGAATTCATAGATTTCCTACCAAAATAAAACAAAAAAACTCATGGCTGCTGATTCCAAGATATATAGTGGTTAAATTTAATAATTCAATTCAGAAACAAGTTCTGCAAGTAACCAGGAGAAAAACCTTCAAATTCAAAGGAAAAGAAATTCAAATACACAAGACTATTCAAACCCACTAGAAAATGCACAATGGAACAGTATATTCTGAAAAGCAATTTGCAAATCTAAGCTTGACCACAAATGAAAAAAAAAGATAGATGTTTAATAATAAAGAGGTGCTTGAAACACTCTTAAAAAGAAAATGAGACTTGACTATGAAGTCTAACATACTGTGAAAATGCACACCCATATGCATGTAAACCTCAGTTAAGGTTTAAAGTTTCTCCCCTTCTGGTGGATTTAGGGTATGGCTTATAAAAGACCATCAAAATTATGGAAATTCACAGACTTTGAGAGTGGTAAAGGACTTCAAGGTCACTTAGTTCAAACTTCTATGCAGTGATGAATCTACTTTTAGCATTTGGGGCACCCTCTTATCATAAGTGGGAACCCAGAAATATTTGTTTTAGAACATTTTCACTGTGGGTTGATATTCGTTAAACACACAAACACACAATAAAAAAAACAAAAATAAACCCTATAGCTCATAAACTCCCAAATAATGCTTTTACTTTTTTCTTGTCAGAAGTCACAACTGGTTTAAAGCAAAGACGTAATGAAACAGTAAAATAACAAAATTCATTATGGAACATTCTCACTTAAAAATATAAGGCACACTCTCCAACACACCATCAGTGAAGAAATTGGGAATTCGTAAGGATCATACATTAGGGACTTACATGTAGGGAAGAAAAATTAAAGAATATGGAAGGATAAGTCATTTATCCAATCCAGTACCATCTACTTCTTCTGGTAATGTCACCACACTAGTCTAACTGCCCATACATATGACTATGGTCCGATGTTTCCACTAAGAATTCCACTTTCCTGGTATGTTAGGTAGGGTAGTCTCTTCTCAGCATTGTTCTAACTGTCTTGATAGTCCCAAGGCTTCTAGTAAATTCTAGGTGCTGCTCTCTGCTACCAACTTCAGGCTATGTTTTCTCCATTCTTACAGGTACAGTGACTAGAACCTCTCCCTGGCAAGTAGGCTGAAAACTGTATTTTCTTCTGGTGACATAACCAACGTGATATTCATTTAAATTATCCGTACACTAATGATTCATAGTTCTATACATAAAGCTCCAGTGTCTCTGAGCTTCACCCTTGTGTCATCAATTGTCATTTGGACATTTCACACCAGATGTTACATAAGCATCTCATACTGAAATCTGAAAACTTAATACTGAAAACTGAACTCATGTTTTTCCCCAAATCCATTCCTCTCCCAACATCCCTATTTATATCAAAAGTATCACTATTCTTCTAGTCTCCCAGGTTCTTCACTTTGGTGTAATCCTCACTGCCACTCTTTCTTACCCCACATATCAGTTGCCAAATCTTGCCATTTTTATATCCACATCTCTTATATCTGCACTTTCTCTCTATTCACATGGCTACCATGTGAAAGAAACAGCAAGCAGGATGCTCTGGCTGAAACAAAGGGTATATGAAGAAGAGTAACATACATTAAGTCATGAAATGAGGGCTCGAGATTTTCACAGGTTTATTTTATACCTTGCTGCTTTATTAGTTATTGTTTCAATTATTTTATCATTAAATCTCTAGGTTTATAAACATTTGTTATCATTTGTAAACAGAGACAATTTTGCCTGTTTATTCTCTCAAATTAGTTTTTTCTTATTGATATTGCTAACATTTCTAGAACTACATTAATAGAAAGGACGTAGGGACCTTATTTAAAAGGTTTCTATTGTTTCTCCATTATAGAAGTTAACTCTTATTTTTCGATTGGTGTCAATCATATTAAAGAAAAAAAGGTATTTATCTGTATGCTTTTTAGTGGTTTTACTGTTGTATTTTGTGAAAAGCATTTGTATCTAATAACAGATCAGCCATACACTCTTATAAGAGTGAATACTTGGAAGTTTCCCCATGTATACTTAGGGCACTGCAAACTAAGAGCAGAGAGAAGAGAAACAAACTGCATCCAGTCTGTGACTGACAGGACCATATAAGTATGCCTAAAGTGTAAACCACAGTCACAATGAGATCAAGTGGAGCTAATTCTGGTGACTTCTCCCTCCTGCTTGTTCCCTCTGAGTACTTACTGAGAAAACTTTAGCAAGTTTTAAAACCTGCCAAATTCATTACTTTTCCTTCCCCCTTTCTAACAACTAGAGATATGGAAGAGGGAGTGAAGCTTCAACAAATCATACAGCTTACTATTAAAATATTTTTTAAAAGTTTTTTTGTCATCTTGCTATTATAACATTTTTTGGTTACCTAATAATGTTTCAATAAATCACATGGATGTTAAGAAAAAAAATGGTAAATCTTAAGAGCAGGAATGAATGGGAAAGGAAGCTCAGTGCTGAAATAAAGTGGGTTTCCTATTTTGGTAATTTTTAGCAAATTTTAGCAAATTTCAGTTTAGGGTTATATCCCTAATCATACAGAACCTGAGGGCCCCACTAAAAAAAGAACAGGTTAATGGAAAGGAGCAGGGTACCCCTATGCAGTTAATACCTCTAAATGGTAACCAAATTATCCACAAACCACTACCACCATTTGCCTAATTAATCAATTAAATTATCCAAGAGGCCACTACTCTATGCAAATTACAAAATGCAAAGGGTCAGGTGTAGGGAGCTATTGTTCTTGAAGTACCATCCTTTGCACTTCTTGAACTTGCTATATATACATACACACATATCAGTCAGTCAGTAAATATTAAGCACCTACTATGTGCAAGGCACTATGTTGAACTCTAGGGATATGTAAAGAAGCAAAGTACAGTCCCTGCCCTCAAGGAGCTCACAATCTAATAGGGGATGACAAGCCAACAAACATAGACAAGCATAGGTTCAATGATAATAATTATAAGAGAGAAGGCACTACAATTAAAAAGAGCTGAGAAAGTTTTCTTAAAGGAGATAGGAATTTAGTTAGGACTTAAAGGAAGTCAGGAGAATAAGAGATGAGAAGGGAGATTACTCCAGGCAAAGGTCACAGCCAGAGAAAATACCCAGAGTGGAGAGACAGAGTATTTTATTTATGGAACAACAAGGAGGCCAAACTCTGGATCAAAGAATATACGGCAGAGAATAAGGTATAAGATGACTTGGAAGGTAGGAGAAAGCCAGGTTATCAAGGGCTTTGAATGCCAGAGGCTTTTGTATTTGAAACTGGAAGACAGAGGGAGCCAATGCAGTTTGTGGGTGGGTGTGTGTGTGATGGTTGGACCTGTGCTTCAGGAAAGCACTTTGGTGGTTGAATGAAGGATGGATTGCAGTGGAGAGAGACTAGAGGCAGGCAGACCCAACAGCAGGCTATGGCAGAAATCAAGGTGTGAGGTAGTAAGGGTCTGCACTACAGAGGTGGGAGTATCAGAGGAGAGAAGAGAGAGGATTTGAGAGATGTTGCTAAGGTAAAATCAATAGGCCTTGGTAACAGACTGGATATGGAGGATAAGAAATAGTGAGGAGTTGAAGATGACACTTAGGTTGCAAAACTGAGAGACTGAGGATGGTGTCGCCCTTTACAAATACCTGAGAATTTAAGAGGCGGGAGGATTGGGGAGAAAATATAGCTCCCTTTTGGACATGATTCATTTAAGATGTCTCCTGGAATCCAGTTCGAGATGTTTGAAAGGCAGTTACAGATGCAAGACTGGAGGTCAGCAGAAAGGTTAGGGCAGTAAAGGTACATCAGAGAATTATCAGCATGGAGGTGGTAATTAAATCCACGGGAGTTGATGAGATCACCAAGTGAAGTAGTAGAGAGGTAGAAGGAGGAGAGTTCCCAGGACAGAACCCTGTGGGAAACCTATAGTAAAAAGGCATGATATGGATGAGGATCCAGCAAATGACATTGAAAAGGAGCACTCTGAGAGATAGGAGAACCAGAAGAGTGTGTTACTGTGAAAACTGAGAGAAAGATCATTAAGAAGAAGATGATCAACAGTGTCAAAGGCTGCAGAGAGGTCAAGGAGAATAAGGATTCAGAAAGGCCACTGAATCTGGCAATTAAGAGATAACTATTAACTTTGAAGACAGCAGTTTGGGTGCAATAAGGTTGGAAGTCAGATTGTAAGGGGTTAAGAACAGAGTAAGAGGAGAGAAAGTGGAGACATCTATTGTAGATAGTTTTTTCGAGGACTTTAGCCACAAAGGACAGAAGAGGTAACATAGGATGACAGTTGGTGGACATGGAAGGATCAAGTGAGGGTTGCTTCAGGACAGAAGTGACATAGGCATATTTGTAGGTGGTAGAGAAGGAACCAATGGACAGAGAAAGACTGAAAATAAGTAAGAGAAGGAAGATGACAGAGGAGGATCACTTGTGAGGGTAGAGGGAGTAAGGCCACTTTTCATGTAAGACAAGGGTAAAGGAGGAGATAATGGCAGAAGCTATGTGAGTGCTATGAGATGAAGAAGGGAGAAAAGGGAGCTCATGGAGAATATGACAGAAGGGCTTAGGGCTTAGACAGGTTTCAAACAGTTCTTAAACAATTTCCAAACTATTAACAACTACATGAAAGAATGCTCCAAACTGCAAACAATAAGAGAGATTCAAATGAAAACAACCTTTTACCTCATATTCAGCAAATCTACAAATATACAAAAGACAGGAATAATTAGTATATGTTGGGTGGGTTGTGCAAATATAGATACACTAATGTATTGTTGGTGGAGGTGTGAATTGGTACAATTATTCTGGAAACCAATATGTAATTATATAAAATATTCATACCCTTTGACCCAGTGATTGATTGGGAAGCATATATCCTGAAGAGTTTAAAAAACAAAAAACAAAAAAGGATCCATAGACACCAAAATATAGCAGCATTTTTCAAAGCAGAAAAGAACCGATGTCCACCAATTTGGAGAATGGATAAACAAATAGTAGCACATGTACGTAACAGAAGGTTATTAGGCTTTAAAAAAAATTATAAACATGAAGAGAAACAAGCTCTAAAAGATGTACATGAATTGCTGATACAAAGTGAAGTCAGCAGAGCCAGGAAAGTAATATAAATCATGTCCACAACAATGTAAATGGAAAGACCCTCTATCACAAAATAACTGAAGCTGAATGTTGTGAAATTATAAAACACCAGCTTGATCCAAATAAGATGAGGACATCTCCTCCACCTCCCTACTTTACAGAGGTTGAGATGAACAGATGGGGAGTACTGCATGTAATTTTTTTTTTCTGTGTTTACTGATTGATTAATCTTTTTCTCTTCCTTTAAAAAATGTTATAAGGGATGGCTCTTATGTAGGGATGGGGGAAACTCAGGGGGAATCTAGGCAATAAAAAGAGGAAAGTCTAATAAAATATTTTTAAAATTAATGAATTCTTTCTCCTTTCACAGCTTCATCTTCTAAATACTCTGCCCTTTCCCAGGAAAGGGACATTCTCAGGAAAGGGATGATTTCTGGGCTAGTAACATACAGGTTCCCAGTGAGATAATGCTAACTCTACTGAAACACCACTGTATTTCTCTAATGGTCTTGGCTCACCCAAGTCCATTTGGGACCTGAGTTATTCAAGTCTTCTGTAGAAGACTTTGGCTATTTTGATAAAGAATTCATAAATTACAGAATGACAAGTTTTCTGAGTTGGAAAACGCCTTTTTAGGCTACATACTCCAACCCACACCAGAAGAGAATTCCCTCTACATCATAACCAAATGGTCATTTCTTGATATTATACGTATGCCAAGATAACTCATACCTATGCATCAGTTATCCCAGGTTCTCACTATTTTTATACTAATTACTACCTGTCTTTTTTTTCTTGCTATTGTACCCTGAGATTCTATTCAAAATAGAAAACTAAAAACTCAAAAAACCTAAACACATTTCATATGTTCTGTGATGGGAGAATAAACAAACTGATTTATCAAGGTGATGGAATGTGGATGTACAACTAGGGATATGCGAATTTTTCTAATTGGAAGATTTATATGAAATGAAGTTAGAATATACACATTAATATTTTATCATCCAGAAAAAAATGCACAGAAAAGAGTTGAAAAAGGAGCAAACTTTCTTTGTTGCCATCTTGTGGAAGTAAATGTACACACACTTTAGGGTATTGTAAATAAAGGAGATTATTTTTTAAAATGTGCTTAATTTTATCTGTTTTGGAATTAGAATGTTCATTTTTAATCAGTTATTAAGAAAGAAAAAGAAAATGAAATGTGAATTTGCTTGGTGACTTAAAAATTCTGTGGTTTTGATAAAATGGTCAATTTAAAAAAGAAAATCTATCAGGCACACTTGCTGCAGACTAACTCTTCTTAATGGTGTCTAAGGTATTCTACAATTAAGAGTATAATAAAAGAAGAAAATAGTAACTAGTAACGTACTCTGTAATCTTGACACTCTGGTATTTTAACAAAAGATTATTTTTTTGTGAAGCTTTTCCCATGTTATCACACGAAATTAGCCTTATGTATAACATTTATAGCAAAATTGTTTCCATAGTCAATATAATTCAGATTCTTTTTCTTCCCATTCATTTGCTGATGTTTCTCACATAAAATGTATAGCCTTACTTACCAGTATAAATTATCTGATTTATAGCAGGGGGTCCTCTGACAGCTTAACTATACTTAACATTTATTAAGGGCATTCTACATGCTAAGTATCATAATGAGTGATGAGGATAGAAAGAAAAGAAAAGCATCCCTGTCTTGAAGGGGCATATACTTTATGGTGGGTGGGACTGAAGTGGCTAAAACATTTCTGTTCATTGCTTTTATATAATTTCCTTCCATTATGAAGTCTCTGATGATAAATCAAGAATAATAAATTGCTAAAGGCCTTTCCACATTCATTATGCATGTTTTCTCTCTGCTATGAATTTTGTTATGTTTCATCAAACTTTTACAGAGGTCAAAGGCTTCTCTGCATTCATTACAATTAAAGGTAACTTTTTCATATGAATTCTCTCATGTCGATTAAGATTTCCCTTCTCAAAGAAGGCTCTTCCACATTTATTACATTCAAAGGGCTTCTCTCCACTATGAATTTTCTCATGTTTCTTTAAAGTTCCTCTCTCACCAAAGGCTTTTCCACATTTATTACATTCAAAAGGTTTCACTCCAGTATGAACACTCTGGTGATCAGTAAGAAGTACCTTTCGGCTGAAGCTTTTCCCACATCTATTACATTCAAAGGGTTTCATTCCAGTATGAATTCTCTGATGTCTAATAAGGGATCCCCTTTCACTGAAGGCTTTTCCACATTCTTTACATTCAAAAGGTTTCTCTCCAGTATGAGTTCTCCAATGTATAATCAAAGCTCCACTCCCACTAAAAGCTTTTCCACACTGATTACATATGAAGGGTTTCTCTCCAGTATGAGTTCTCTTGTGTGTTGCCAAATTTCCCCTGTGACGGAAGGCTTTCCCACATTCACTACATTCAAAGGGTTTCACTCCAGTATGAATTCTTTGATGATCAGTGAGGTTTCCCTTATTACCAAAGGTTTTCCCGCATTGACTACATTCAAAAGGCTTCACTCCAGTATGACTTCTCCAGTGCATAAAAAGGTTTCCCCTCTCAAAGAAGGATTTCCCACATTCACTGCATTCAAAAGGTTTCACACCAGTATGAATACTCTGGTGATTATCAAGAAGCACCTTTCGGCTGAAGCTTCTCCCACACTCATTACATTCAAAGGGCTTCACTCCAGTATGAGTTCTCTGATGTCTAATAAGGGTTCCCCTATTACTAAAAGCTTTCCCACATTCATTACACTGAAAGGGTTTTTCTCCAGTATGAATTATCTTATGTGTTGTCAAGCTTCCACGGTGACTAAAGGCTTTCCCACATTCATCACATTCAAAGGGTTTCATTCCAGTATGAACTCTCAGGTGATCAGTTAGGCTTCCCTTATTGCGAAAGGCTTTCCCACATTCATCACATTCAAAAGGTTTCATTCCAGTATGAATTATCTGATGTCTAATAAGGTTTCCTCTCTCAAAGAATGCTTTCCCACATCTATCACATTCAAAAGATCTCTCTCCAGTATGAATTCTCTCATGTTTAGTTAAACTTTCTCTGTGGCTAAAAGTTTTTCCACATTTATTACACTCAAAGGGTTTTTCTCCAGTATGAATCCTCTCATGTTTATTCAACTTTCCCCTTTCAGCAAAGGCTTTCCCACATCTGTTACATTCAAAGGGTTTCACTCCAGCATGAGTTCTCTCATGGCGATTAAGATTCCCCCTGCTACTAAAGGCCTTCCCACATTCATCACATGCAAAGGATTTCACTCCAGCATGAGTTCTCTGGTGTCTAATAAGGCTTCCCCTGGAACCCAAGATTTTGCCACATTCATTACATGTAAGGGGTTTCTCTCCAGTACAAATTCTCTCATACAGAGTAAGACTGGATTTTCTCTCAGAAACTTTGCCACATTCATTGTGTTCATGTAACTTTCTTCCAGAATATATGCTATGAAGTTTGTTTCCTGAGTAGTATCTGAAAGATTTCACTGGAACAAAGACTGACCCTGGACTAAAACTACTCCCAAATGAATTGTGTTGAGGTACACTCACTTTATTAAGAATTGTTCTGTGAATGATGGTTACATTTCTAGAGTGTGTCTCCTGGTTGCCCAGTTGTTTCTGTAAAACGACATCATGTGCCACAGATTCTCCCATCTTGGCATTTTGCAGAATATCCACTGGTAGTCTTTTCTTAAGTGATGGTATGTGGCAAATACTCTGTATTAAACTCCAGTTTTTGGTTTCACTCCAACTGTCCAGATTAAGAGAATCTGAAAAAAATTTTATAAAATGTCACTAATATCTGTACCCTGTTCCAGGACAAAAGAAACTGCTTTATAACAAGTTCTATCTTTTATTTAATTTGTATGTAGAGAACAGTTTCATCAGAATTAAAGTCAAAGATAGGAGAAGAGATAGAAACAAGAGAATGTAATTGCCCAAGCAAAACAAAGTATGTCTCAGGTCATGAAACAGTCATTAAAGCAATACACACAATAACAAACAGGATTTCCTTCTGGAGGACAGAACAGTACAATATCAGAGGAAGAGAAAAACCTACAAAATTACTTAAGTAGCAAATAACTTTGGATTTATGCAAACTAAAATGATAGACCTGGAAAATTAAGCTATAAGAGAAAGTTGAAGAATTTTTGTACTTCTCCCAGGTTATGAAGGAATGAAGGATCTGACAAATATATTTCATCTAGCTACTGCTTGCAATGACTCTCATTTGTTTGCTTTTTCCTTACTCACCTGAATAAGTGCTTCTTGGGACTTCTCCCTCTGATACCCATGAGGCTTCTCCTCTTTCCAATAGGGAAATCACATCCAGTTTGGAAACAAAAATCCCTGGGGATAAAAATGCATCTAAGAACTAAATTCTCTACATGAAAAAAAGCACAGTTAAGAAAGCATATAGAAGACAGTATGAAAGACAGCTGAAGCATACTGTACTGCAGTGGTATCAAACTTAAATTAAATAGAAATGGGGCCACTAAATCATACATAAGGATTATGGGCCATTTACTGACTTAGAAAACCACATGTTAACATTATCCATGTCCTATTGTATTTTAATTTATTTTGTTATATACTTCTGAATTATACTTTAATCTGTGCTACCTCATGATGTGAGTCACATGTTTGATACCTCTGCTCTACTGTATTTCAAGGGAGAATTGGTCACAAATACAACTTAGAATAATAAAGAAAATTAGCTAATTTGACCCTAATTCATGGTAGGGTTACAGCTCTGGTATCCAAATCAGTTGGTAAGCTCTTTAAAGACATACTATACAAGCACCACACTACACATAAGAAATACAAATACAAAGAATGAAATAATCTTGACTGTCAAGGAGCTTACACTTTAATGGGGAAGAAAACAGGTGCATGTATAAGTGTATGCACAATAAATATACAGAGAATATAATTAAATACAAACTAGTTTGAGAGGCACTAGCAGTCAGAGGGATCAGGAGACTCTTCATGCAGAAGGTGGTAGCTTAAGTTGTATCCTAAATGAAGAGAGGGATTCTATAAGGTGGAGATAAAGAGGAAGAACATCCAGCCATACAAGAAGCACGGAGACAGGAAGTAGAGTGTTGAATGAGGAGCAAAGAGATAGCCACTTGGACAAGATCACAAAGTGTTTGTGACGGTAGGGGGAAGGGCACCAGGGGGGCAGAAGAGAGAAAGGGGTACCTTCAGACAAAATCAAAGTCTGAGTAAAATGTAAGTTAATTCACACTGGACATAAGCCCTTTATGATATAATAAACATGGAAAAGTCTTTTTTGAGAGAGAAAACCTCATTAGCCATCAGATCATGTACAATGTTATGTCGAGTGATGCTAGAAAAACTGGTTGGTGCTAGATTGGAAAGGTTTTAAAACCTAAACAGGAATTTATTATTTTTTTTTATCTTAGAAGCAACAGGTAGCTACTGGAGTTGGCTAAGTAAGGGAGTGATATGATCAGATTTACATTAAGGCACATCACTTTGGCAGCAATGTGGATAATGAACCATAGTGAGAAGAGACTGCATACAGGAAGATCAATTTAGGAGACAACTGCAATAACCTAAGCTAAAGGTGATGATGACCTAAACTAAGGTTGCAGCAGTCAGTAGAAAGGAAAGAAGAGGTCAGATTCCAGAGATGTTGTGGAGGTAGAAAACAAAAAGATTTGACAGCTGACTGAATAAGTGGGGTGAGGGAGAGTAAAGAGTCAAGAATGATGCTGAGATTACAAACCTGAGAAACTGAAAGAATGGAGAAACCTTTAATAGAAATAGAGAAGTTTAAGAGCGGAGTGAGTTGGTAGGGCGAGGGAAGATAACAAGTTCAGTTTTTAATATGTTCAGTTCAAGATGTCTCCAAAACATCCAACTTGAAATATCCAACAGGTACCTGGTGATGCACAACTGAAAGCTCAAGGGAGACTAGGCTGTGTATATATAGATCTGTAAGTCACCTGCAAAAAGGGGATAATGAAAACCATGGGAGAGGAGATTATAAAGACAGAAAGTAGGGAGAGAGAGAGAGAGAGAATACAATACAGAGGTTTAGGGAATACCAAATCAGTGAGTGTGCTATGAATGATGTGCCAGCAAAGAACTCTGAAAAGGAGTAATCAGATAAATAGGATGAGAATTAGGAGAGTAGTGTCACAAAAACCCAAAAGAAGAAAGTATCCAGGAGGCGAGAGTGGTCAACAGTGTCAGATACAGCTGATAGGTCAAGAAAATGAGAACTTTAAAAAAAAAAAAGACCATCAGATTTGGCAACTGCTCATTGGTAATTTTTAAGATTAGACTGAGTTGAATGATAAAATTACAAGCCACACCATAAAGGACTAATCAATGAGAGAAGTGGAAGCAATGAATACAGATAGCTTTTTCCAGAAGTTTGACTAAGAAAGAGAGATAGGATGAAAGTCTGAGTGGGTGTCATGATCCAATGAAGGTTTTTAAAGGATGAGGGAGATAGGCATGTTTGAAGGCTGGTGGGAAAGAATCAGTAGAGTGGGAATCTAAAGATGAGAGAGGGAGTAATTGAGGTTGCATTCATCTGGAGAGCTCAGATCAGGGCTAATTACAGAGGGGTTTGGCTTTGGCAAGAAGGGCCACTTCACAAGAGACTGGGAGATGTCATCAAGGGGTTTTAAGATGAAGAGGATCCCATGTCAAATGCCCTCAAAAATGTCAGTTTCTGTGGGGAGTGTGATACGGAATCACTTAGGAAGAAATCAAAAGATTGCCTCATAGTAGTGAGTTAAGTTGAGTTGGATAATATGAACTTACAATGTACTCAGTCAGCAAAAGTGAGTGACTTCTAGAGATGCTCATTAGCAAATGAATATAAGTAGAGGAGATGGATAAAAGGACTAATTTAGGGCTTTAAAATGGTAAATGGGAAAATTCTAGAGCAGAAATCAGTGTAGAGTTGAATTGGCTAAAGACAAGGTCAGAACTAAGAAGGAAGGCAAATGAAGTAAGAAAAATAATAGTCTGAAGAAAAGACTGAAGAACACTCAATGAGGAAGAAAATTGATTTAGAAAGGGTGAGGCTTAGGGAAAGATGGAATAATAATTGGATTAGAGGAGTGGTTCAGTTAGTATATTTGTGGGTAATGGAGAAATTTAGAATAATGTCACCCCTATATGTGAATGAGACAGAAAAAAGAAGTCCTAGGATTTAAAAAGACTGAGAAATTCAAAAGTTAGGCAAATCTGAGGGAGTACCAATATAGATGCTGAAGTTATTGGGAATAAAGTTAGGGAAGGGGAAGAATACAGTAAGCCAAGGGCTGAACTTCTGATATACAGAAAATAGGAAGTCCCTGTGGATTTTAGAATAAGGGAGTGACATGATCAGAACTATGACCTTTGACCTTCCCTGGGCCTTTACTAATTTTGCTCCAATTCATTTAGCATTTAAGTGCTCACTGTATGCAGAAAATTACACTGGGGAAGATACAGGTTTAGCTAAGATATAGTCCCTTCTTGTCCTCATAGAACTTCCAGGATGAAATTCAGGCAGAACGTCAAGAGAAATTCTGGGAGGGAGAAATACATTGGGGAAGACAGAAAAAGCTTTCAGAAGGAAGTAGTTTTATAATTTCCTTGGAGCTTAGGCAAGAATCTTTGGCTTGAAGGTACAGAAGTAAGGAAAATATACTCTCAGGATTAGCTCAAGAAAGCTATGGGATTTCTCTTTCTACTAAACAAAGAACTTTATCAGCGAAAAGACAACAAATATTCTGCCTATTGGCTATTAACAATATTTGAATCCCTCTTATGTTGGGAAGTCTTAAATATTACTGCACAATAAGCCAAAACTTAAGGAAGTACTTCAAATACACAATAGCTGGAGAGTGGTAAAGTGAAGAAGTGAAAATGCACCCCACAATGGACAAATGGCAAATCACAGAGTACTATGCTTACCCACTGAGATGAGGTTCTCATAGTTCTCCATCATCACATTCCTGTACAAGTCCCTCTGTGCATGGTCCAGCTGTCTCCACTCCTCCCAAGTGAATTCCACAGTCACATCTTTGAATGTCATGGATTCCTGAATCAAGCACATTCCTGCTTACTCAAGCTCCACTACTCTCATGAGTCAGGGAGATGGCAGGATAATAAAGGGAAAGGTTCTCACAGGATTCAGAATTTTGAGTGTTTCTTGTCAAATATTTACAGATTATGTTCCTCACTGTGTACTACACACGGTAGCATGTGGATAGTTTTACTGCTCAAATTCACCCCAACAAATCCTATCAACTAAACCCCTAAAATTCAAGTACTTGAGTGCTAACACTCCAAATTATACAATATAATCAGCATACATCTTACAATTAGATATACTACCATTAGCAAGCACATTAAACGTATTAATTTCTAAATAACTATGTTACAGCAATCATTTTCCATTACTGATAAACATTGTCTGACTACACTTAAACAGGAGATTGTAAATCATAAGTGGTTAATTACACTAAGAATTCTCATGATTTCCAAACAAAAAATCATCACAGGATCAGAGCTAGAACTAAAAGATACATCAGAGGCCAAATGGAGTTACCTTGCTGATTTTATAGATGAGGAAACTGAGGCTCAGGGAAATTAGATGATTTGACTAAGGTCACACAGGGAGTTAAGTATCAGAGACAGTATTCCCTCTGTCTCTCTAAGGGCACTGGTTCTTTTTTGGAACTGTGGAAATCTGGAATAAAAATCTTCCCCCAAATTATAGTAAATATTTACTACCTACTTACTATGTGCACAGCACTGCATTAAGTTTCTCTGCAATAGTGAAAACCATAACTTATTCAGGCCTTCTCCACCTGTCCATATCCTTCCATAAAATTTCCCAGAGAAGTTTTAAGAAAAACGCTAGGGGCCTTCTAGATTTCTTATCAGACAAGGATATAAGTACAGTCTAGGCGGAATCCCATTAGTTATTCCTCTCCCTCCTTACATGACCAATGACTTTATTTTATGGTCACACCTTTTTTGGTTATCTCTTTTATGCTTGTTCTTGTGCACAAGTCTTCACAGGTAATATGCTATAGTCTATCTATACCTACCATATGCCTCCCTTCCACCATTGTTACTTGGTTGGCTTATAATTTCAATTCTTCAGAGATGATGGTACTCTGTGATTCATAACAATAAAGGACAACTAAAAAAATGACTGTTTAAAAGATTGGCTTTTGCTTCACATAAAAGCTTGGGGCCACTAACAGCAATGTACCATTTCCCATATCTATGCAGCCTGATACTATTCAATTCTGAGAACAGTTCATTTCCCATCTATACAGTCTTTCTAAAATTAATGTACATAGTACATGCACACTTCTATGGCTAGATAACATGGAACCAATACAGTAATATCCTTAAACAGGGATATTTGGAAAACCTGCTAAAGAGTAGGCCATCTTCCATCATGGTGGCAAACATTATCTCCCTGTTTTAAACATAACTTTTAAATATAACTTGCTTGACATAACTGACATAATCAGAGGAAAAAAATATATCTGGTATTGCACCCATCAGGAAATTTTGTGTGTCCTTTACAAAGACATGGAAAACACACTGATGGAGACCCTTAAATGCCTGAATAATAATAGCTAGTATTTTTAGGTTGTATCATTTGATCCTAACAACAACTCCATAAAGTAATACTATTATTATACCTCTTTTACAGATAAAGAAACAAGGGCTAAAAGAGGTTAAGTAACTTGCCCTGGGTGACACAGATAGTAAGAGTCTAGGTAGGATTTGAATTTAAATCTTCTTGACTCCAAGTCCATTCAAAGTAAACATTAAGCCACATATCTGCCTCAAGGTCACATTTTTCTCTACCAAATCATATGTTTTTTCACACAGTCAATAAATTAACTCAGTGGGATCTTCCATTCTCTGGACTTTTCAACCAACTGTCTGATTGTAAAGCTGTGGTACATTATACAATACTATTTGTAAAGACTCCATGTTTCCCTCTCATATTTTCTTCAAGAAAACATGTATACATGTGTTCATTTTTCTATTAAAGATTTTATAGGTGTAGAGAACTGGTTTCATGGTTCAGTACTGAGATGTCTTCTAAGGACTTTTTCTGAAGTAGTAATAACTTTTCCCAAACAGCTATAAAATGCTCCCATTGATATCTGGGAAATCAATCTTCTAATATTCTCAATATTGTAGAGCCTCCAGCATGCAGGTAGGTGGATAATGTGGACTGGGAGTCAGGAAAATCTGAGTTCAAATCCAACCTTAAGCACTCACTAGCCATGTGACCACGGGCAAGTTACTTAACTTGTCTGACTTAATTTCCTCAACTGAAAAACAATGGGAGTAATAATAGCATTTTTCTTCCAAGGTTGTAACTAGGATAAAATGGGATAAAGTGTTTTACAAACCTTAAAACGTCATAAAAATGCTAATTGTTATTATTAATAATGATAATGATGATGGTCTGGTAAAATTTCTTCCCAAAATTCTTTCTCATTCTAAATGCATTTATTTTGTTGATAGGAAGGTTTTCAATTTGACTATTTCAAAATGTCAATTTTATCTTTACTGATCATCTCTATCCTCTGTTCAGGTAAGAATTCTCCTCCTACCCAAAGCCTTGAAAGGTATCATCATCCTTTCTCTAATTTTTTTTTTAAATTACAAGAACTTTTATACTTAAGCCATTGCTTCATTTGTAGTTTATTGTGGAATACGGTATAAGGTACTGGTCTAAAACTAACTTTTGACAGATTGTTTTTGTTTTTCCAGCAGTTTATCTCAAATAGGGGTCTCTTTTTATACTCAAATTTCTATTTTTTAATAATTAAGGTCACAAAGAAAATTTACTAAAAAATTGATCTTTTTTTTGTCTTTGCTTTAATATAATTTCTATTTCTGCATGAAAGGTATAATGTTAAGTGGGCAAATATTATGGCTACGATGGCACCGAAAGACAAAAGAAACTGTGACAGAAATCTTGATAAACATTCCCTTTCTTGTTCCTTGTTCTCCCTCCAGTTTTATCCATAAATATTCTCTCTATGATCTGGCTTCACTGGATCTCATGCCAAGCTTTCCACAAATCTCCTTCTCCCTCTACTATTCACTGCTGTTTCCTAAATTGATATTGTTCATCAACACAAAATCAGTATTGGAAGTGACTTTCATCTGGTACAAATTATGACTTAAACCCAGATCTCTTTACCATCCTGAATGGCCTCTGGACATTCCTGCTTTATCAATAGTCTTCCTAAACTGTGAGGTCACAAATGAACTCAATACTTCAAGCGGTTTTGCTCTTTCTGGTCACTAAAGAATGAAAACTAATCTCCAGCAAACTAAATTTTCCTCCTTCATACCTTCCTTCCCTTTCTCCTACTTTGTGTGTGTTCTCTGCCCCTCTGTCTTACACATTCTCTTCTTTCATCTGGGCACAGCTTTTGTGCCCAGATACAATGTAATACAACTTGAGAATGGAAGTTTCATTCCTATCTTTGTATTCCCAGTTATCTTGCACGTGTTGCTGTTCCAATTTTTGGTGACCCCATTTGGAGTTTTCTTGGCAAAGATACCAGAATGCTTCGCTATTTCCTTCACCAGCGTATTTTACAGACGAGGAAACTCCAGTAAAGAGGGTTAAGTCACTTGCCCAGGATCACACTGCTAGTAAGTGCCTGAGGCTGGATTTGAATTCAGGAAGGTGAATTTTCCTGATTCCAGGTCCCAAACTCTATCCACTGAGCCACCGCCCCTTGCACATACCAGATATTTAATACGCTTAATGAAATGAATTTGCGAATCGAATTTTTGAGGAATAGAATATTTAAACTATCTTATACGTAGGAGGAGCCCGTTTCTCAAGTCCGGGCCTGGCCCACATTCACATACTTAGCTTCCATCAGTCAGCGACGCCAGCGCAGGCAACAACATGCCCCGCCCCTCCCATCCCCCCGCCCCGCAGCAGCAGCGCTTCTGCGAAACTCTCCTCCAGTGGAGGGTAGAATGGAGAAGGGGAGGCGGGGGGGGGGGGGAATGTGCTTGGCGGAAGGGGACGGGGAGGAAGAGTGAAGGACCCTAGGCCACCACCCCCGAGCCGCCCTGTCCCCCACACCCCCAAACCCCGTACCGCCCCGTGCCTCACCTTTCCCGCCTTCATCTCCAAGAATTGCCCAGTCCAGACCTCAAGGATCTCGTCCACGTTAGATGACGTCTTCTCATCGCCTCAGGGTCAGACTGCCCGCCCACGTCGTGACCTCCTCGCTCCGCCCCGCCCCGCATGGAGACCAGGTCCTAAGTAGTTGTGCTGGCAAGATGGCGCAGGCGCAGCAGGGACCAGAGGGGCCGCTCCACACGGAAGAAACAGGCGGAAAAGGCGGAATCTAGTACTCCAAACTACCCCACCCTCCTTAGGGACCGGAAATGTCGTCACCCCCTCAGCTCCTAACTTCCGGAAACCCAGGCACGCGTGATGAAAGGCGGAGGACCTGCAATAGAAGATGGCAAGGTGAGGGACACGGTCGGGATGGGGAACATCCGGGCCTTCACCGAGGCTGCGCAAGGCCACACCTCCCTGGTTCCGGTGTATCCCTGGGAAGAAGGCGGGGAGCACCACTCTGTAGGCCGAGGCCACCCAGTCAAGCATCTGGAATGTCTCGTTCTGGCCTGGGCTTTCTGTTTGGGGATGGACACTACCAAGTTGGAGGGCATCCAGAGGAGAGCCATCAAGAAGAGGAAAGGATTGGACACAATGCAATACAAGGATCAGCTGAAGAAACTAGAGCTATTTAGCCTGGAGAAGAGCTGACGTAGGGGGACATAATAGCTGTCTCCATAAAATCAATGGATTGTTATGAGAAAGAGGAGAACTTTCTAAAGGCAGATCTAGGAGTAATGCATGGAACTTTTAGGGAAGCAGATTTCAGTTTGATCTTAGGGAAAACTCCCTAACAGTTTAGATTTGTACTGAGTTGGAATGGGCAGCTGGTTTCCTTTCATTGAAGTCTTTCAAGTTAAGGGTGAATGCTTGTTTAATTTGTTACAGTAAGGCTTAACTTTCTCCTGAACTCCAGTCTCCAATAACCAGTTGTTTCTTGGATGTTTTGAACTGGATATCCTTTGGACATGTCAAACTCAACATGGCCAGAACAGATTTTTATTCCTAAATTTTTACCTCTTTCTGACTTACCTGTAACTGTTGAAGACACCATTCTCCCACTCACCCAAAATTGAAATGTGTCATCCTCAGCTCCCTGCTGTTTACACTATATGTTCAGTTTTTTGTTGTCTTGTTATCTAGTTATTTTTACCTTCAGAAGATCTATATGTCACCCTTGCTCCAATCACACAACAGCCATCTGGTATCGGCCTCTATCACCACATACCTGGAATATTGCAGTTGGCAACTTGGTCTCTTTGCCTGAGATCTCCCCCTACTTCATTCTATCAACCACTCAGTTGCCAAAAGGATTTTTCCAAAGCACAAATCAGACCATATCACCACCACCCCTCACACACATTTAATAAACTCCAGGGGTTGCTCCCTATTACCTGAAGGATCAAATAAAACTTTATAAAATCTTGTTTGGCTTTTGAAACGTTTCACAACGTGGCCCCTTCCTATCCTGCATAGGATACCACCTGGACTGATCCACGGGGGTGGAAGGCATTGAATAAAAATAAGAAAGGTGGGGGGGGCGTGGAAGCATAAGGAAAGAAGAGAACACAATTTTGAAAAGTCATTTGTACATGTTTCATCTGTTGTGTAACAAAGTCATAGTGATTATATTATTTTCCAAATAAACACACAAAATGCAAGTTATGATGGAGCAGTGGTCAAGTTCACTGACCAAGGTAAAGTGCATTGTGGGGAAGTCCAGCATGCATGAGTAGGAATATGTGCGTGTAATGATTTGTTTATGTTACAATACCGTAGGTTACATGATGCAATATTGTATCATCAACATTTCAATCTAGGAAAAAAACATTTACAATAAATTATTAAGTTTAAGATGAGTCATTTTAAAAAAAGTATTTTTTGAAATGATGCAAATTTCACAAAAAACATTAAAGGGTTAAAGAAAGTGGATTGGGGGGAGGAAGAGGGACAGAGTAATTTTTTTTTTAAAGGGGGTGGTAGGCCAAATAAAAACTTACTCTTCACACACACACACACACACACACACACACACACACACACACACACACACACACACACACACCCCCTCTGTCTCCCTCCTTCATTCCCAGAATCCACTTTTGGGGTCAAATCCTGTTGATACTACTGTGACTTTGACCAAGCCATTTTTACATCTTGGGCCTCAGTTTCTTCATCTGTTGATTGTGGAGGTTGGACAAGATGACCTTAGGGTCACCCTTCAAATTGTACATCTGTGACACTGTATACTAGGTACCCCTTATAAATTTTAATTTTTCTTTATTTTTAAAAATTTCTATATTTTTTCCAATTACATGTAAAATTTTTTAACATTTTTTTTTATTTTGAGCTTCAAATTATCTCCCTCCATTCCTCCTTCCCCTGCCCCCTCACTGAGAAGGTAAACAATTTGATATAGATTATACATGTGCAGTCATGCAGAACATTTCCACGTTAGCCACGCTGCAAAAGAAAACACAAATCACCACTACCACCACCACAACTACCCATCCTGAAAAAAAAAAATAGAAAATAATCTGCATTCAGACTCCATCATTTTTTTTCCTCTGGAGGTGAATAGCATTTCTTTTTTTGTTTGTTTGTTTTTTTATTTGGTTAGGCAATGGGGTTAAGTGACTTACCCAAGGTCACACAGCTGGTAAGTGTTATGTGCCTGAGGACGGATTTGAATTTAGGTCCTCCTGAATCCAGGGCCAGTACTCTATCCACTGCGCCACCTACCTGCCTTGGATAGCATTTTTCATTGTGAGTCTTTTGGAATTGTCTTGTATCATTGCATTGCTGAGAATAGCTAAGCCATTCATAGTTGATTATCTCTTTTGCTGTCTACAATGTTCTCCTTGTTTTCCTGACTTTCCATTAGTTCATATAAGTCTTCCCAGGTTAATTTGAAAGCATCCTGCTGGAAAAAGTTTTGAACTTCAAAGGATCCTTTGTGTGGAAAACTAAGCATATCCTGTGACTGTTTACTGATTACTTTCAAGGTTCAGAGCTCAGTAAAAAATGCTTTCAGGACATACATCAAACGAGCATACAATAAAAGTATCAAGAAGAAAAGATTACATACATCTTAAACAAATGGTTACAAGACAGAGATTAACAGGCCTGAAAAGTCATTCTCCCAAGGCTGTCCCAGACTCTTATCTTAAAGTGTTTGCCATGTGTTATCCCTTCTGCATAACATCTATTGTGCCACGGTTGGATAGTGTATTCCAGGAGCCCCTTAATTCATGGGAGAATGCTAAACCAACATCCTGATCACGTGAGCCCCCGAGGGCAAGAAGAGGCAGGAGTTAAACTCCAACCTGAATTCTTTTAACCCTATCTGGACTTATCATAGCTGGCCCTCTACATTTCCCCCTTTTTGTTTTTGTTGTAACTTGAGGCAATGAACATCTGTACCTATCGATTTGAACCATGACTTTATCAATGCAGTTGCACACGGGAGAACAAGGCAAGCTAGACTTAATAAAATTCCCCAAGTAAAAAGATGAAGTAATAAAGAAGAGATATTTTTGAATATATTTATCGAGCCCAATTTTTCTAAGATCTCTTGTGCTAAACTCTGAGGACAAATCCCTGGGAAATGATTGTCAGAAATTGCCTGAGTGACATTAGTCAAAAGAGATAAATCAGCAGAAAAGCTACTATTATGCCAAATTCCCTCTAAATGATTTTTAATCATATCCCATTTTACTATACTAGAATTATAAGGTATGTGTGTATGTGTGTAGCAAGAGAAAACATTGAGAAATATTTACCTAAAGTTTTTTCCCCCTAGACTTTTCCCTTTAGAAAAGTACATAAAAGTCAAAAACAAAAGCTAAAGTTCAGAAGACAGACTGAGTGGTTATCAAATTTGGGGAAAAAGATAACTCATGTCTAATGAAAATAATTGTCTTCTCTATTCTTTAAAGGGATGTCCACATAAGAGCAGTATCTCATTTCTCATTCAAAAGGAATTAGGCTGTTGATCATCTTAAAGGGGCAGTTTTTAAGGGGAGTTGTTAAGGCAAGAATGGAGTAGTTTTAGGAGATAAGGTGATTCCAGTAGAATGCTAATCTATACTATCACAATAAAGTTGGGCAAGAACCATCTCTGAGGCCACCTGGTCCATATGGCAGGCAGAGTAGTTCAGGGGAAAGAATTCTGGTCCTATGTGAATGAATGGATGAATGAATGAAGAAAATATTTATCAGGCACTTACTATCTACAAAGCACTGGAGATAAAAAAAGAAAAGTAAATCCTTGCTCTCAAGGAGCCCCCATTCTAATAGGAGAGACAACACTTATGGAAGGTTTAAGCTGCAAGTCAGATGGAAAGGTCTCACGGTTTTTAGGATACACTGGCAAAGAGAAGGGCAATGCTTCCTCTTTAATGTCATTTCCACTGATGAAGTCATACATTTACTTGCACAAAAAATTATACCAGTTCTTTTTGTGGTGGCAATGAACTGAAAACTAAGTTGTGTCCCCTCAGTTGGGGAATGACAGAAAAAATTATGTTGTGTTAATGTGATACAATACTAACATGCAGTAAGAAATGGTCAAGGGAATGATTACAGGAAAACCTGGGAAGATTTGTATGAACTGATTTGAAGTGAAGTGAGCAGAATAAGGAAAATAATTTATATCAACACTGTAAAATGAAAAAAAATTCAGTCTTCAGAACTTTGTTCAATGCTATGATCAGCCTTGATTTCAGAGGACCTATAATAATGAAAGCTAACCAACATCCTGACAGACAAGTGATGGGCTAAATATGAAGAATGAGACATCCATTTTTGGATGTGGCCAATTTGGGAATTTGTTTTGTATGACTATGCATTTCTTACAAGTTATGTTTGGTTTGGTTTGATTTTGCAATAGAGGATGTGAGAGGAAGAAAAAGTAAATGCTTTTTAATTGAAAAATGAATGAATGAATGAATAGAAAGAACACTGGCTATGGAATCATAGATATTGAGAGTCAATTCCTGGCTCTGCCACCATCTGTGAAACCTTGGACAAATCACTTAACCCTTCCGACCTCTGTGTTTTCATCAGCAGAATAATGAGTATGGATTAGAAAGAAGTAAGGTGTTTAAAGACAGATAATTTTTTTTTTCTTTTTCTTTGTATATTCAGTGTTTAGTACAGTGTCTGGCACAGAGTAAGATTGAGTGATTGGCTAGGTGGTAAGGGGGATAGAGCAATGGGCCTGGAGTCAGGAGGATCTGAGTTCAGATCCACCCTTAGACACTTACTAGCTAAGTCACCCTGGGCAAGTCACTTAACCTCTATTTGATTCATTTTCCTCATCTGTAAAATGGGGATAATAATAGCACCTACCTCTCAGCATTGTTGTGAGGATCAAATGAGATAGTAATTGCACTTAGCACAGTAGCTGGCACAAAGTTCGTTCTATATAAATGTTAGCTATTATTATTCCTGCTCATATTCTAGGATTCTGTCATTCTATGAACCTGTATTCACACCTGTAGAGGAACACCCTCTACATTATTTGTAACAAAGACACTCACCCTTCATTTGAAAACCTCCAGTGTAGGGAAACTCACTATTCCTCCTCAGGCAGTCCACTGCAAACTAGGACAGCTCTATTTTTAAAGGGAATAAGTTCTTCAAAGAAGTTTAGAAAGGAAGTTTTATCCTTACATCAAGCTGAAATCTGCCTCCCTTCAGGTTCCTCCCATTGCCCCAGTTCTGCCCTCTGGGCTCATGTGGAACAAGTCTAATCTCTGTTTCCCCTCATAGCCCTTTAATATATGAAGAATCCCTCTCCTGGCTGCATTGCTGATTCATCTCCATAGGTCTTTCTCTACCATGCCGTGGAGATCTTTTTACCCTTGGAGGCTCACTCCACCCCCGGGCCATATCCCACATTCCTCCTCTGCCCCTTTCTGGCTTCACCTCCAGATTGGTTGGTGCCTCCCAGAACCTCCAATTTAAGGAGAAAGCCCAGGCCAAAGACATCTTCATCGCTCTCCAGGCTGCACTGGCCACTATTCAGCCCCTTTTTCATGTGTTGCCTTCTCCTATTAGACTGTAAGCTCCTTGAGCACAAGGACTGACTTTCTGCTTCTCTTTGTATTTCCAGATCCTAGCAGGGTGCCTGGCGCTATTTGTTATGATGTTGTTTAGTCCTTTCATTACCCTTTCTTGGAGTTTTCTTGGTAAAGATACTAGAGTGGTTTGCAATTTCCTTTCTGAGCTCATTTTACAGATGAGGAAATTCAGGTAAACAGGGTTAAGTGACCTGTCCAGGGTCACATAGTAAGTTTCTAAGGCTAGCTTTGGACTCATGAAGATGAGTCTTTTGACTCCAGGCCCAGTACTCTATCCACTTGGCCACCTAGCTGCCCTGCCTGGCACCATACTAAGTACTTAAATGCTTGTTGACTCATTTGAATGACAGCTATCATGTCCCCCAAATCTTCTCCAGACTAAAGATTCTAAATTCTTTCAATTTATCCTTGTACTGAATTGTCTCCAATCTTCTCACTACCCTGGTTACCCACTTCCAGTAATCTCCAAATTGGTAATGCCCTTCCCAAAATTTAGTACCCAAACCTGACCAAAATACTCCAGATATTATCACATTACGACAGATTGCAGCAAAACTATCACTTCTCACATTCTGGACACTGTGCCTTTCAACTTCGATTTACATTAGCTGTTTTGCATGACAAATCCCATTGCTAATTTACTGAGCCTGTAATCTACTTAAACCCTCAAAATTTTTCATGTATCATCCATTGTGTCACCACTCTTGCCAGACTTAGTACTTGCACATTAGACTCTCGAAATCTAAATGAAGAACTTGAAGATTATCATGTCAGTGTCCATTCCTCATTTGTATAATTTGTATAACGTGTATAACTTTAATTCTGCCTTGGGTCTAGCCCATGTACTGGCAACTTTCTTCAGATCTCTTAATCTAGGTATTTCTTGATATTACATGGATATCATGAACACCCAGGCTGTCACCTGTTATCCCTTGCAATCAGTATGTAACAGGGTAACACTTTTCTGATTATACATTCATTGGGTCCTCTATCCTGGGCAATTACTAATTTAAAATGTGTCATAATCTGGTCACATCTACCATATGTCTCTCCATTCCCATTTGGGTAATCTTCAAACTCAGTTCTCTAGAGAGTCTTAAATTCCACAAAAGTATTGTTCTTCAAAATTTAAACTAAATTATCACAATGGAAAAATTACAAGTCTTCTTTGATATTTGCAAAGCAAACACCAATCTCATCCCTAATGGAATGCACACCATCTGATCATAGGTCTATTTTTCCTTTATCCTGGATATATTTTCTATATTCCTATATCACATATATATCCTTAATATCCTAGTGACAGTGGGCAAATCACTTTTCCTCTCTGATCTCTAATTTTCTAATCTATAAAGACCTTGGACAAGATGCTCTCTCAAGCTCATTAGCATTAAATTCTATGATGTTATGAAGATACATGCCTAATAAAAATGAAAACAACAGAAACCCAAATTAGCAACTGGTTAAAAATTTGCTCTAGAGAAAGGGAGATAAGAACTCGAATATGGCTGTCCATTTGGACCCCTCATTTGCAGGTATCTTTGAAAATGTCTGTAACAGCAATATAGACACAAGTAGTCTACCTCTCCTTCCCCGCCAGATTATATTATATGTAGATTTCTCAAGGATACCATTAGAATGGTATAATGAAAAATCCAAGTCTTGCCAGAAGCTCATGCTAAACCCAAACAGTATGAAAAATGCTATAGCAGAATTCAATAAAAGGAAGTAATGGAGTGAGAAGAGAGCTTTACCAAGCAGTTGTAGGTATATATTAGTAGTGAGAACTGAAAGCACTGGCAAACAAGATTACCACCGCCTTTGAGGTGATGTGAAAGTAAAGCACAAGACAGAAGACTAGAGCTAATGGACCTGCTGCAACAAGCTGTTGGGGACTTCCTTTAAGTAAGGAACATAATCTCTCAAGTCAGGAAACAATCAGTTTCTCTTCCATGGCACTTACATTTATTTATTCACCCAATCTTGACGGTACAAATGAACCAAGGAAGAAATATTGGTACCTATTTATATAAAATACTACTAGCAGCATTATTCATAATAGCAAAAAGGTGAAAATAACCCATTTTACCCTATGGAAAAGAGGTTAGGTTTTTTTTTTTGTTGTTGTGGTTTTGTTTTGGGTGAGGCAATTGGGGTTAAGTGACTTGCCCAGGATCACACAGCTAGTAAGCGTCAAAGTGTCAAGTGTCTGAGGCCAGATTTGAACTCAGGTCTTCCTGACTCCAAGGCCGGAGCTCTACTCACTGCACCATCTAGCTGCCCCCAGAAAGCAGAGAGGGAAGATTACTTACATGAAGTGATGCAAAGTGAAAAAACTGTGATCACAACATACAAACTATAGCAACATATGAAACATTGTCATAATCCAGAAAACTACACAAAATAAAACAAATTCAGAAATTGGCAAGGAAGAAAACAGAAACTTTTTGTTACCATTTTTTAAAAATAAAGGTATACATGTTTCATTTAGCAAATGTAAATAAAGGAAATTACTCTTTCACATATAATTTTTTTTAGTTACTAAATTTAGAATAAAAAATAAATGTGTGATTTCTCCATATCACTGTCTCCCCAAAATCCATACATGGTTTTGCTAAAACCATCAATAACTTATGCCATCTGGTACCTCCTGGTGTGTTACAGCAAAGATAATAAAAGAAAACCAATTTTTTTTCTTGCAAAGAACCAAATAGAAAAACTGGTGACATTCTGCAATCTAGAGTTCTAATATCAGTATTTAACAAAAGATGAGTCTTTATGAAGCATTTCCCAAATTCATACATCACTGCCATTAACCTCTAGCAGTCTATGAAAGGAATTCTTAACCTATTTGTGCCCTGGATTGTTGGGTAAAACTGATAGATTCCTCAAAATAATGTTTTCAAATCCATAAAATAAAATACACAGGATTACAGAGGAAACCAATTATATTGAAACAGGGACAACAAAGTTCTAAAAAAAAATTGAGACCCTTCAAGAACCCAGGGTCCAGGATGTGGGTTTAATACTAGGTTGCAGAATAGATAGAGGGACTTGGAATCAAGAAAATATGAGTTAAAATCCTGCCTCAAAGACTTATTAGCTATATGGACCTGGCCAAAGTCTTTTAACTTTTCTATCGTTCCTTATCTGTAAAAGGGAGATAATAATAACACATACCTCACCTGGTTATTATGAGGGTCAGATGAGATAACATGTAAAGTACTTTGTAAACCTTAAATTTATATAAATGCTAGGTTTTATTATTCTCATAGCAAATATGATACAGAATCTGTTTCTTCCACATTATTTCATTAATGATTCTGAAGCACTTTCCAAAATGAATTTAAAAGGTTTCTCACAAGAGTACATTCTGACAGGTAGTAAACTATCTGATAGCTTAACAAATTCAGTATTTAAGAGTTATCTACGTACTCAACATTATGTTAAATACAAAGCATACAAAACCTAAATGAAATAATTATAGCCTGAAAGCAGCTTACATTCTAGGAGAGAGGTGCTCCCACCCACTGGGATAGAAAACGTACCTATTCGATATTTTTGTCTTGTTTCTCTCCCTTAGGGAGTATCTGATGACAAATAAAGGATAAAAAATTGATGGCCTACCCACGCTCAATACACAGATATTCTCTCTTCTAAACATAAATTATTTTAAGTTTCCACTGTGCCTGAATTTTCAAATTATATTACTAAAATTAAAAGATTTCTTTCCAACATGAATTCTCTAATTTTTATTAAAGACTTCCTTCTCACCAAAGACTTTCTCACATTTATTGTATTAAAAATAGTTTCTCTTATATGAATTATCTGATGTTTCTTTAGGCTTGTCCGCTCACAAAAGGCTTTCCCACAGTCATTACATTCAAAGGGTTTCACTCTAATATGAGTTATCTGATGGCAAATGAGATGGCCCTGCTGCCTGAAACCTTTCCTACACTGATTACATTCAAAGGGTTTCACTCCAGTATGAGTTCTCTGATATATAACAAGGGTTCACCTCTCACTAAAGGCTTAACCACATTCACTGCATCGAAAGGGTTTCACTCCTGTATGAGTTCTCTGATGACTAATAAGGTTTCCCCTCTTACTGTAGGATTTCCCACATTGATTACATTCAAAAGGTTTCTCTCCAGTATGAGTTCTCTGATGTCTAACAAGACTTCCTTTCTCATCAAAGGATTTTCCACACTCATTACATCCAAAGGGTTTCTCTCCAGTATGAATTCTCTCATGTTTTCTCAAGCTTCTCTTGTGTCTGAAAGTTTTTCCACATTTATGACATTCATAGGGTTTCTCCCCAAAAGGAATTCTCTCATGTCCTCTGAGATAGGGTCTTCTGTCAAAGGCTTTTCCACATTCAATGAGTTCATTTAGTTTTTCTACGGAGTGAATTATACGAAGTTTAACATTGTAGGAATTATAACTAAAGGGGTTCCTACATGACAGAACAAACACAGACTCCGGCTAACACTTCTCCGAAATGAATTACATGGAGGCATGTTAATTTTCTTTAAAACTATTCCCTGAGGAACTACTACTTGTTTTGATTGTACCTCCTGTTGTCTCTCTAAATTAAGATTACATTCCATAGCATTTCCCAATTTGGATTGGCAGAAGCTATGCTTTTGAAGTTTTTTTCTGGGATGATGTTCCCATGCAAATATCCTTCATAAGATGTGAGTCACTGATTTCACATCTAGTCTCCTGCTTCAGGGTATCTGAAAGAAATTTTAAAAGTATTATTAGCAATTGTTCTCTGTTCTAAGAGGAAAATTCATAAAGAACTAAGGTGCTCAATCTGTACTAGGTGGAACAAACATTGTTTAGGGAGACTTAAAACTAAAGTCAAGTGAGGCAATAATCAGAGTACTCAGCTGCCCAAGACTGAATAAACTATTATCAAAGAGTGTATTAAAGACAATACACTAAATATATACGTATATATGTATGTGAATACACATGCCACATGCACACACAAAACATATACAAAATTTAATTTGGGTGGGGGAAGCACTAGTAGCTGAGGGAATCAGGAAAGACCTTCCATAGGAAGTGATTACTTAAGCTGAGCTATGAGAGAGCATAGAGACAGGAGGTGGAATGTCTTGTGAAAGGAACAGCAACTAGGCTAATTCGCCTAAATAAGTTTAGATAGACAAAATAGAAGCAGGTTGTAAAGTCCACTGAACGATAAAAAAAGGTGCCCGTAATATCTCAGTGCATTTTCAAGCTATCAAAGCTTTAGTCACTTAACCCTGTTTGTCTCAGTTCCCTCATTCTCAGTTTTCCTCAGTTTCCTCATAAAATGAACTGGAGAAGGAAATGGCAAACTATTTGCCAAGAAAACCCCTAATGAGGTCATGAGTCAGATATGACTGAAAGGAACAACAACAATGTATGCACTTCTTGTTTCCCACTTAGCCTTCAAGTTTTAATAGCTTAAAAATGCACTGAGACATTCAGGACAAGCTTTATTTGAACCTAGAGAGTTAAGGAAGCTATTAGAACTTCTTAAGCATGGCAGTGACATAGAACTGGAACTTATGATCATGCTTGGGACTTTTTTTTTAATTAACTAATCTTTGATTGACCTGTGCTAGGTGAAGACATCAAATTTAGCTAGAACATGGCTGCTAATTGTCATTATGGTGCTTCCAATATGTGGTGAGATCATTGTAGGGTTTCAAGCAAAGTATCAAGAGAAATCCCAAAGGTGAGAATTTCTCTAGAACCTTTAAGAAAATGTTTTGACCTGAGGCTACAGGAAGATGTAGCCTTAAGGGCAGGAAAATGAATTTATGGCATGAACACAGATCTTTCACTTGCAAACAGAAAATAGAAATATTCTATTGTCCATTAGGGATTTTCAAAGACTTCTTCAAATGGTATGGAGTCTTATATATTGCTTCAAAACCAGCCTAATGTCAGTTAAGTGTTTCAACCCCCTCATGCACTACCTTCCAGACAGTAGCAAGTGAAAAATGCAAGAACATACAATGTATAATTTCTAAGTCACAGGATACTTGTACTCACCTAGGGAGACAAGATTCTCATAGTTTTCCAGCATCGTATTCCTGTACAGGTCCCTTTGCAGAAGGCCCAGCATTCTCCATTTCTCCCAGCTGAATCCCACAGCCACATCCTTAAATGCCAGTGATTCCTGAATTAAATACATTCTTGATTAAGTAGGGACCTACTTCTCATGGACCATGAGCTATAAGGGTTTGGCAGAACTTAAAAAGAAAAATGTTTATAGGATCAAAAATCTAGAGCTGGAAGGAACCACAAAGAGTATCTTGTCCAAACCCTGTAGAATAAGGAAACAGGCTCAGGGAGGCTGACTTGCCCAAAGCCACACAAGTTGGAAATGTCAAAGGTGGAACTAGAACCCAACATCTCTGACTAAAGTCAGTGCTCTTTCCACTACTGGTTCTAATAGTATTCAGAAGTTCAAGTAATTCATTTCAAACTCTTATTCATCATCTACCTACATCTCTTTGCACTACATTCAATAGCACCTAGATAGTAAGCACTAAGAAAATCATTCACTTTACTCCTAAAAGCCTCCAAACACAAATCAACTACGTACATACTACAATTAGATGGACAACACTAACATCAACAATCATACTAGAGATATTTATTAGTTATTATCTACATTACAGAAACATTCTTCATTGTTGATCAACATTATTTGTGGTAGGTTGACACAGCAAACAGTACATAAAAATGGTTTATTAGGCTAAAAGTTCTTTCTATTTCTAAACAATGTCCCCTTGCTCTCTCTAACAGGCCACTGGTTCCTTACATTTGTCTAAGTCTCACATCATATAAGGGACCAAATGCTGCCTGGAAGCTGTCCACCTCTTACCCCCATTCAGCCCACCTCGTATTCTGGTCATAACCCTAGATAATAGTTTTCACACTAATTCTTGCGCACAACGCTTTGCAGGCGATGTGTTGGGGCGTATTTATACCCACCACATGTCCCTCCATTGCTCTTTTTGCCTCCTAGTCTGAATTCTTTGGAGACTGTGGTATTCTACGTAGCACATATAACCAGAAAAGCAACGGAGTGAAAAGAAAAGCGGGCGGCCTTCCTAAATGTTTCCAGACCGCCCGACTAGTCCACTCTTGGTCCGGTTAATTTCATTTCAAAACAGCGCTTCACCCTCTCCTCCCCACACCTCGTACCCTCCCCGTTCCCGGCCCAGCAGCCCCAGGCTCACCGTCCTCGCCAGCTCCCCCATCTATCCAGTCTCGGAGCCCTCGGGGAATCTTCAGCACCTGCGCAGGGACAGCTGCGGGGCAGGTCCTCTGGTCCTGCGGCCGCAGCGCCCAGGCCTCGTACCCGCCCACCAACAGCCTGGAGACCAGCAAGGGATAGCGCAGGCGCAGCAAGGGATGGCGCAGGCTCAGCAAGCCCGAGCAAAGACTAGGGAGAGGAGCGCCAAATGAGAAGCCGAAGTCAGCTGCACCTAACTATACCAAAAGGAACGGAAGTGCTCCTCTCCTTAAGTGACAAACTTCCGGAAACCCAGGGTCTCCTGACTGAACACCGAAAGAGGCATGCGCGAGCATCTGGGAGGGAAGAAAAGGAGAGAAGGGGCCCGAGAGAAAGGGGCGCGAAGCTTAAGGACAGGTTGCAGAAACATCCGGGAACTTCACCGAGGCTGCACAAGGCGACTTCTCTCGATTCAGTGTATCTCGGGAAAGGCATCGAGGGAGGAAAGGCAAGGAACATGACATTTTTGCAGGTAAAGCAGTCCACCCAGGCCAATCTTTTGCCCACTGCTGGAGGAGGAAAGTACTTGGCCGGACTTATCTTGGAAGGTATCGGGTTTCCCTTTACTGAAGTCTTTCAAGTGAACCGTGAACGACTGATTGTTTCATTTGTTGCAACTGCTGAATGAAATTTGTCATTCCCTTCAAGTATTTGAAAACATTTTTCAGAGAAGGGATCTATAGGCTTCAACAGTCTTCCAAACTGGTCCATGAAACAAAATAAGTTGAGACCCTTTGAACTCCTTGGACTCAGACATCTCTTCCAAAGGTAAACATTTGTGATTCTGTTATCTCTATAAATACATGTACATATCAGTATTTCTGTTTTAAGGGCATATAAATACACATACATTTACGTGTAGTTATGTAATGAGGACATTCACTTAGAACTACCTCTTGTTTCCTTCTTGTCTCACATCTTTCATATGCCTTCCACCACTATATCCCCCTTACCAACTGTCTCACGTGAAGACATAGCCCATCTCCTTTCCAAGGCAAACTCCACTAATACAAAAGTGATCCCATTCCATTTTATCTTCCCCAGCAGATAACTCCCTCTATTTTTTCCACTATCTCAATATTCTCCAATCACACCCAGTCAATTGGCTACTTACTTAATACCTATAAATATGCCCATGTTTCCAATCCTCAAAAAAACAAAACAAAACAAAACAAAAACCCAGACTTGATTCTTCTGGTCCCCTCTATCTTTTATGACTGAATTCCTTGAGAAAACCCTTTATAATCAATGCCTCTACTTCTGCCCTTCTCACTTCTTTCTTCCTGCCTACAAACATATTCATATCTTTTTCTCTCTCAAGAAAAAATCCTTCTCTTGAATTGTCTATCCCTGCTGGTTCTCATTCCATATCTCTTCCTTCTTTTGTGGCTAAACTCCTTCAGAAAGTTGTCTAGAATTGGTGTCTCCATTTCCTTTCCTCATACTCTACTTGCTACTCTCTTCTTTCTAGGTTTTTGTGGCACTACTATCTCCTGGTTTTGTCCCATCTGTCTGACCAGTACTGTTTTTCGCTTTTCTTTGTGTCCCAAGCACTTATCATAGTGACTGGCACATAGACGCTTGTGTGATTAAGGAAGAAAAATGTGGTTTGGATTTGCTCCTACAATAAGAGACACTGGTAGAGAGAGAAGTGAGGTAGCTTTAGTTAAGATTCTAATACAGGTAGAGAAAAGTGAGATTTACAGCAATATACAATTAGCAGTATGACTATAGTCAAGCTAAGAATACAAGGGATAGCAGTAATATAAGAAAACATCACCAATTTGGGGAAGCACCAACATTTAAAGTCCAAGCTGGGGATTCCCGGGGTACAGCTTTCAGGGTCCCGATGGGGAAAGTCCCAGGCAGAGCATCCTCTCCATGAGTGAGAATCCAAAGATGACTTTCCCAATTAGGATTTAAATAGGACCTCTAACAAAGAAGGCCCCATGCCAGACGTATCTATCCATGATTGTAGTAGATGTTTTCACTTGGTCCAGGAACTGGCCAAGTTTCTGGAGCGAGCAAAACATCTTAGAATATTAATTAACTTGATATATTCCAGTGAACTGGTCAGGTTCCTAGAGCACATCTTTTCCTGAGAACTGGCTAAATTCTCAGGTCAACATAAATAACCACACTCTGGCTTATAGCCCAATGTTTAGAGTCACACAGGGGACATGGAAGATCTTTCCTTATAAGATTTATCAATCAACACTTAATATATGTTTTTTTTTTCATAAATTTATTGACTTGTTAGGAGAGGCAGCATGGCATAGAGGATAGAGGGGTTGGCCTTGGAGTCAGAAATACTTGGATTCAAGTCCTATATCTGATTCATATTTGGTGTGTGACTGTGAGAAATGACTTAACCTTTCAGAATCCTAAACAACTCTCTTAAGATTATTCAGATGAGTTTTTGCTCTGCATTAGTAAAGGAAATATTTATACCAAAAGTTCCACAAACAAATTGAATCACAATAACAGGTTCAATATACATTAGGCCACAAAAACATGTGTAGCAAGTGTTCTTTGGCTCCCTTTTCCAAAGGCAGTCCATCTATCTCAGGGTTCTAGGATACCCTGAGAGACTGGATTTTTTTCTCTTTCTCAACCTCCATTATTTTCCAACCTCACTTATTGCATTCTCCCCCTGGTTAGGGGACTGCACAAGCAAGGCACTTCCATTGAACCACTTAACATAAATTAGCTTCTGTTATTCAAGTTGCTTCAGTCATATCCCACTCTTCATGACACCATTTGGAGTTTTCTTGGCAGATACTAGAGTTTGGTTTGCCATTTCCTTCTCCAGGTTATTTTACAGATAAAGCAACTCAGGGAAATAGAGTTAATTGACTTGCCCAGGGTCACACAGCTAGTAAGTAGATTTGACCTCACAAAGATGAGTCTTCGTGACTTCAGGCTCAGTACTGCATTCACTGTGCCACCGAGCTGCCCATCTGGCACATAATAGGTACTTAATAAATATTTGTTTCCTTTCCTCCCTCCTTCCCTTTCATCCATCCTTTCTCCTTTGAAACTTTCAAAGTTAGAGATTCTACTCTTTTCACTTAGAAGAGAACAGATGAACAGGCCAAGGACCAAGTACTGTTTCATAGGGCCATATGTCCACAAGGATGAGAAAGCCCTAAGACTTTTCACCTTACCTCATGGTCTTTCACAGGATTCCATGAGTCAAGGAGGATCCAGTATTCCCCAAAAGCAACTGAAGTAAAAAAGAAGTAACTGAGGCTAGAACCAAGATTGTGGAGTAGCAAGAAGTATAGCAAATTCCCTACTGCCTGGTCCCCCGAATATACACCCACAACTACTCCAAACAAGCCTAGAAAATGAACCAGAATGGAAGGGTGAGTGATGGGCATCTCTTGAACCTTACTCTCATCAGTATTGGCTCAAAGAGGGAATAATATACAAAATCAGTTGAATGTAGAAATCCATCTTACCCTACAAGGAAGTAGGAGTGGAGGAAATTAAGTAAAGGGGCAAGGACTAACAGAAGTGAGTATGGATCAGGGGAAGTGATAGACAGAAACAAAACACTGGTGAGGAGGGAAAGGGTGAGAGGAGGGAAAAGACAAACAGGAAAAAGAATAGGATGGAGAGAAATACACAGGTAGTAATCATAACTGTGAATGTGAATGGGATGAATTCTCCCATAAAATGGAAGCAGATAGCAGAGTGGATCAAAAACCAGAATCCTATAATCTGTTGTTTACAAGAAACACATTTGAAGCAGAGGGTTAAATCCACATAAATCATCAGCACTTATTTATGTGACCAATAGTAAGAGACAGAAAGAGAAATGCCATTTAAAATAACTGTAAACAATATAAAATACTTTGGAGTCTAACTGTCAAGACAAATGCAGAAACTATATGAATATAATTACAAAATACTTTACACATAGATAAAGTCAGATCTAAACAATTGGAAAAATATCAATTACTCATGCGTAGGCTGAGCCAATATAAAAAAATGACAATTCTGCCTAAACTAATTAACACATTCAGTCCCATACCAATCAAACTACCAAAAATTATTTGATAGAACTAGAAAAAATAACAAAATTTATCTGAAGAACAAAAGGTCAAGAATAGAAAGGGAATTAATTTAAAAAATACAAAGGAAGGTAACCTAACAATACCAGATCTCAAACTGTATTATAAAGTAGTAATCATCAAAACTATCTGGTACTGGCTAAGAAATAGAGTGGTGAATCTGTGGGATAGATTAGGTACATAAGACACAGTAGTCAATAACCATAGTAACCTAGTCTTTGATAAACCCAAAGACCCCAACTTTTGGGGTAAGAACTTATTTGACAAAAACTACTGGGAAAGCTGGAAAATAGTATGGCACAAAGTAGGTATAGACCAACATCTCACACAGTATACCAAGATAAGGTAAAAATGGGTGTATGATTGAAACATAAAGGAACACTTTTAGCTTGAGAGAGAGAAAGGCAGAAATCAGGGAAGACTTCAAAACTCAGGTTGCCTCTGAGCTTAGCTTTCATCTTGGCCAGATATGCATACTTTCCATTTTTCTTCAGACTGTTCTGTCATCTTGCAAAACTCATCCGAAAATTGTTCTGTAAAGCTGTATAACAAGACAAAGAGGCTTACCCAATGAAGATCTCTTTCCATCTGACCTACCTCTGCCCCTTTCTTTCCACCTCGAGCATCCATTCAGACAAATAATTCCACTCAATTTTGGGACTCCATCCTGGGGCTTAACTACCTGGTGGGTGAATGAATAAAAACATATCCCAGACCATTGTATCTACCTAGCTCCCCAGACTGTACTTCATATTCCACCCAGTCATCTACCAAGATACTGGAACCAGGTGCTTCCCTGTTTCCACATCTTGCTTTTATACTGGGAACAGTAATCAAAGTAATCTAATTAATATGATTGTTGCTACTGAAAAGAGCATGACAATCTATGGCCCTGTGACTCTACTCATAATCTCTATTACTGCCTGAATCAAAACTTCCTTCTTGGGACCTCACTAGTGTATATATGTTGCATCCCCCTATTAGAAAGTATTAAAGTTAGGGGCCATCTCAATTTTATATT